CTAAATCGATATTTTTAAATTATCTAATTTGATCAATAATTTTAAAAAACAAAATAGGCAAAATTACCTTCTGTGTATCATCAATTATTCATCTATAGTTATATTTCTAACATCCAAATGTTTACTAAAATAATATTATATTTGTTGGATAAATATTCCCGTTAATTTTACAATATAACACCGAATTTTCTCTTCATAAAACCAAACAAGATTTAATATTTATTCTTATTTTCAACAGTGGCGGATCTTCTTGGGAGCTGAGGGGGGTCGTGACCTCCCCAAAGTTTTATAACTCCCATGTAATTTATGATTTTGGCCCCCAAACATAATGAGCATTTAATATATTTACTTGTATATTTACAATTTTATCCTCTCAGCCTCTCCTCAATTTTGTAACTCTCATATAATTTATGATTTTGTTTCCCTCAAACTTAATTATCATTTAATATATTTAAGTATATATCTACAATTTTATCTTTTCAACCTTTCATATTCTTTTTTCTTTTTATTATTTATTAATAATATATTATTTAGCCCCCCAAGATCAATGGTCAAGATCCGCCATCGATTTTCAACATCTCTCTTGAAACTGTTTAGAATATTTTTTGAAATACACATGTTCAAACATGAATAATATTTGTTAAATAAAATTAATCTATCTTTTTTCTCAAATCTTCTACATCCCCCACCCAATTCTTTTGATTCATCGTGAAAGCTTGGAGAAGCTTTGAGAAAAAAAAAAAATACTTGAGTGCAAAGTGTTTAAGACTATAAAGGTGGTGTTGTATGATGAAAACTATCTTAGAAAATAATTTGGTTAATGAATATACAAAAATATTTGTTCTTATTTGAAGAAGAAATCACAAGAAGTGAAGTTAAATTATGATTTTTAAAAACAATTTCATAAAGAACAATCTTGTGTGTGATTTTTTTTTCCTTTTTAAAAAGTAGGGTTAAGTATGTTTTTAGTTCCTGAAATTGAAAATAGTTCATCTGTCATAGTTCACATAAAAATGATTTATATACTTTTGAAATGATTGAAATATGTTCTTATTTTAAACAGTGTTAAGTATACGCTGACCTGTCTAACAGAAATTGTATGACTCATTCATTATTTGACACATGTAATTATTAAAAAAAATTAAAAGATGTCAAGCTTTTAAAAGTCATTTAAATCCGCATTTATAACATTTAAAAGTCATTTAAAAAGATATTTAAACTTATCTTCCATTTATAAATCATTTAAATTACATGGGTCAAATAATGAATGGATCATACGATCTCTGTTAGACAAGTCACCATATATTTAACGTCGATTAAAATAAGGACATATTCCAATCATTTCAAAAATATATGAATCATTTTTATGTGAACTTTCACAAATGGACTATTTCCAATTTCACGTGAAAGTACAAGAACTAAAAACATACTTAACAATATAACAGATAAAGAAAGTTTGCCAAACAAAAAAAGAATTAAAATATTTTTATGTTCTTCTCTAACCACTAAAACGAAGTCCATTTTTTTTATAAAATATCAAATTCTGTTGAATAAAATGATGTATTATAATTATTCTTTCATAACTTATTTGTGATTTTTTAAAGTATTTTTAAATTGTTTCTCTAAATATTATTTCAAATATTTTTTACTTAATCCTTTTTATATTTAGATATTATTAATATTTTTAAAAGCATACTACACTTTTTTTTCAACTAATCCAATTGAAAGTCGGTTTGAAAATTAGTATGTTATTTAAAAAAAATCAGATTTTAATTAAGTCATTATAAAATATATTTTTTTTACAAAATCGACGAAACTAGATAAATAAGTTGGATATTTTGATGAAATAATTTTTTGTAAAAAAATTTAAATTTTTTAAATATATTTTTTAATTTTTTTCCTATAATTCAAATCACATTATTATTTTGATTTACATAATAATAAAATATTATTAATATTTAATATTTTATCATATTTTTTCTCTATATATTACACAAATAAAAAATATACTATATATATATATATATATATATATATTTATATTAAGAAATACACATAAAAAAACTTTAAGAATTTTCATCAATTTATAATTTTTAAAATTTTGACTTTTATTTATTTATTAATAATATATTATTTAATTTAAAATAATAATCATGATAACATAAAAACATACAAAATATTATACAAAAGTTAATGTGAAGACTGGATTTGCTGGGGCACAATACAAGAAATGTGCACTTGGAGAAAGAGGCTCTATGCTATCTTCTTTTCTCACTCAAATGTTTTCAGTGTTCTAAGCAATTTGTATAGTTGGATTTGATTAGATAAACTTCTTTCTCCCTATACATTTTTGAAAGAAAAACATAAGAAAAAAAAAAATTAGTTCATTTCGAGAAAAATTAGTTAATTTTTTCTTTAAGAAGTACATACCAATAAATTGGTCTAAACAAATCCATAGTCTAAATCATACTTCATAGATCAAGGATTTTTCTTCCTCCTCTTTGATAGTGTTAATCATGAGAGCAACTTGGTTCATGGTTGGCCTAGACTGTGGTGAACGATTCACACATCTTATAGCCACCTGAAGCAAATTCACCATCCTCTCTTCGCTTGCATACTCTGATATTAGAGACTTGTCAAAGACTTCACCTGTCCATTCTTCCCTCACAACTGACTGAACCCAATCAGTCAAGTCAACACCATCTCCCTTCACTAACTTACCAGTAAGCAGTTCAAGAAGAATCACACCAAACCCATAAACATCTCCCTTTAAGATATCTAATGAACCAGCATCATTAGGACTGCCAAAAGGTGAACCTCTTTGATCATCCATGTCCATCACACCATATTCACTTATGCATGGCTCCATATTCTTGTTTAGCAAAATGTTGGAGGATTTCAAATTACCATGAATGATACCATGATGGCCTAGCTCTTGGTGCAGGAAAGCTAATGCCTCAGCAGTTGTAGCTGCAATCCCAAGTCTGCTGGTCCAGTCAATGGTTTTTGGAGTACCTGAATAACACATGCAACATTTTAGTAAGTCCTAATGCAAAATTTTGTTGAAAGATTTGTACATTTTTGCACTACTAAGGGAGGTCTGAAATTTATCAGAAAAATAAAATTGGATGTCACATTTCTTGTTCATTAGAGGAAGTGTAACTAACACATGTACAAAAGTAATAGGAAGATATGATACTTACCATGCAGAAGCTTGAATAAACTGCCATTCTGCTGATATTCATACACCAAAAGCTTCTCTTGTTTAGAACAGTAGAAAGCAAGTGGTGCCAGTACATGAGGGTGTTTTGCTTGACTCAGTATTCTCATTCTTTGTTTGAAATCGTGGCTTGAAATAGACCAATCCTTGATCCTTTTCACAACTACCATTATCCCATTGTCAAGCCTCACCTTATAAAGACTTCCATTCTTTCCTCTTCCAATCAGTTCTGCAGGGGCCCTCAACAAGTCCTCCAATCTCAATTCAATCGGCGCTGCGGTTGAAAGAACTACAAGTGATTGTGAAACCATCCCAGTTTCAGAAGGGACTGAAAACTCAGATCTGCTTACCTCAGTTTTGTATTCGCTCGAAACATTGCTCGGCATTTCAACATCACCAGCAGTGGTCCCTACCCCATTATTCAATGCTTCAATTCTATTCTCTACCTTCTTTCTTATACACAGCTTTAAAGCTGCGAAAATGACAATGATAACACCTAATGCAGCATAGCCTGAGTACATAAGAATCTGCTCTTTAGAAGGACCCTTTGATTCTTCTGATGTCTGAGCCTCGCTAAGAGGCATATGCTGATCAGAGCAAGTTTTTGGTAGTGGATCTCCGCATAGGTCAGGATTACCAAGAAAGCTGTCAGCAGAAAAATAGCCATGCACCTTTGGAATGTGGCCACGGAATTTGTTGAAGGAGACATTGAATTGGTCAAAATTGGAGAAATCAAAAGCCGGTATAGTTCCTTCAAGATGATTGTTCTGTGCAAGGAACATATTCAGCCCTGAGATTCTAGATAAGTTTGGTAAAGGTCCATAAAACTGGTTATTCGAAATGTCCAGTCTCTTCAAATTGTTCAGCATGGCAAGTGAACTAGGAAGGTATCCAGCGAGTTGGTTTCCACTTAGGTGCAGGCGAGTGAGTTGTTTGCAATTTCCAACCTCAGATGCTATCCCCCCACTAATTTTGTTTCCATCAAGACTAAGATATGTGAGAGATGCAGCCAGGGGCTGCAAGTTGCATAGCATAGCAACATCAAGTGTTCCAGAGAAATTGAGCTTATCAAGTAGCAACCACTTTATGGACATGTTTTGAGGATCACAGTGTACACCTTGCCAGAGGCCCGTGCAGGGATCAGAGTCTTGTTTCCATACCACAGTGGAGTTCTGTTGGCCATCTTTACCAGAGACTTGAGCCAAAAATTGAATCAGTGTTGTCTTGACCTCATACTCCACACAACTGGTCATGTGTAGGAGGAAAAGGGATGTGGCAAATACTATCCATGTAGAAATTCTTTCCATTTATGCGAGATAACAAGCTTTGTTGGTTGAAGTGGGTGGAGTAAAAATGAGATGGTTTATGAATAGAATTGAGTTTCTAATTTCAACACAAAAGAAAGTTCCAATGTTCAGGGATTCTGGCCGGAAATTGAACTGGTCAGTGTGACTGATACTTCAATGACCATTTGTTTTGTAGTTGGCATGATTAGGAATATTTAAATACTCATCTCATTGGACCTTCTCCAAATTTTTTTGTTGAAAAAAATATAGGCCGGCAGGATTAATAGTTGCAGGTAGTGTTGTCACTACCTTATTAATTTCATTCATATGGCATTGCAGACTATGCTAACAAGAATATTGACTGCACCTACTAGGTACTTTGTCCAATATCTACTCTTTCTGCAGTAAGTAGGTAGGTGGACTCGGAGTGAACACCTACATAAATTAAGTCAACACTAACTCTTTCTATATATATTTTATTGGGTTTTTCTCGAATGGCTTCTGGCCTTGGTATCATCAATACATAAACTATATCATTTCTTCCATTTCGCGTCTTTGCTTTGCATTGTTGTTGGTTGTGTTTCTGTATTTCCTTGGTAAAATGGTTGGTCAAGAGATTAAAGAGGTAAGTGATGCAGATTAAAGATACACCATGAAACCTCCAACTATACTTCTCTGAAAATTTTGAAACTTTTACGAAATAGCCAATCTCTCAGTCGCTCTAGAAATGACAATGATCTAGTGTTGCAAGTATGTGACACAACTGAGAACCTTTCTTTTTAATGCGCGATACCTTGTTTATTAAGTTAGGATTGTGTCTCCCCTTATGTTCTTTTGAAAAGGAAATCTTAACCGTACTATATGTTGTCCCAACTCAACTTCATCCCGGACCTTCGTCTGCGCTTTTCACCCACTTCAGTATTGTGTCAAATTCAAGCATTTTTTTTTTTTTTTTACTTTTTTTAGTGTAAAACCTCCAAAAGAACTTCTTGTATTTTCTGTTAGTAAGGTGCTCGGTCGAGCCTTAGTAACTTTATTCTAGTCTTCGTTTAAACACTTCAAAAGGTGGATTCATCAAGGTCCGGGTATCCTTGGTGGAAGGATTTTCCCTTTATTGGATATCCAAACCTCATTGTCAAACCGCCAAACAGATAGAAGAGCTAGAACAGGATGAGGCCAAGCCAAGCATTGCCGCAAGACTTGATAGATTGATCAGGGGAACAAATCCCGACAGCCGAATCAGCCGGTCCAGTTGCTTTAATTACTCTTCACTTAATGGAAGGGCTGGTCAGTCAGTTACTGGTCATCCACAACGTATAGATTACTAACGGTTACACATCATAGGGTTCAACGTAATTGATAGTTATGGTGTCAATATTCCCAAGTAGCCAGTAAACCTATCAAAATTTGATTCTCAATATTGAGTCACATGATAATTTACTTTAATATGCAAAATACATATGGCATAGGAGGCACCATGAATGTAAAGCCAAAGTTTTCAAGAGTCCCTTTCCGAACAATCAAATAACACAAAAATATATATAACTAAAAAGTTAAAAATTTGGAGGGTTGACAAATATGTGCTCAAGCCTGACATGCTAGGTTAGAGAAGTTTCAGTTTTTCCTTCTTTTCCTTAAAAGCGGCATGACGCTGAAAGCTCCAATGGAGGCTTTCTCTGGTTTCAAGCCCATGTCAGAATGATCGTGACTACTAGTATTTACAAGATCATGACTACCAAATTTAGAAAAGGCCCCTCCCCCGTCTATCCCATTTTCAGTCTTTTCAGTGCCAGAAAATAATATATCTGAACTATCTTTGTCAGTTTCATCCAAACCATCAGAACAGTGTGGAAAATCTGGAGTATAATCCACTGTGCCAGTAGTGACAACATCAATTGTATCCTGCTTGGTACCTGTCTCACCATCATCTAAACAGAATCCACCTCCCATTTTAAGGTAGTCATCAGAAGAGTCATGATTGCCAGTACTAGGATAACTAGTTTCACCTGCATCCATGTGAAACCGACCTTCTAACTTGAGAGAGTCCGTTGGCAAGTTCTCCTTTAAAGGAAAGTTCATTGCACTGAATCCTTCCCCCAGGATGAAATCTTTGGCACCATCTTCACATGCACCCTGAGAATGAGATAAATTTTCTTCCATTGAACAAATCTGATTATTTTGATCAAATGAATCATTGGCATCTTCAACTTCAGGGCCTTCGAAAGAATAGTTGACAGGTTTCCGAGAGCGCAATGACTGGAAAGTACACAAATTGTAAGTGAAACATTCGTATTCTTTTGCATAGATTTTCTTTTTGCCAATGAGATCAGATTCAATTATCTTCAAATGTTTTCAACCTACAATAGAATTTTTCTCATTCCCTGTTTTTTGACAGATTTAGGATGATGATTCTGTTTTACTGGAGAAACTTTTTCATTCTCATTCTCTTAACGAAATAATAAGAATCTAATTAACCATATTATTATCAGATACTGACAACTAACAACAGACAAGCAACAACAGTTTTAAATCTAGTTTATCAGAATGGCAGGTTAATTTCCTTTTTTTTTTACTTTGATTTACCACTGAACATAATTGCCGACCTATTGTTTTAAAATTTGAACTTCCATAGGTAAAACAGAAACATTTTATTAAGTTGAAATGACTGAAAGCGCCAAAACACAGCTGATTGTTTATTACTTTATTATTAGTGATAAGAGAATAAAAGAAGGTTGTCAACAAAGAAACAACTTGATCAGCGTATTATTCTCCATCTCGAATATAGTACTTGTAAGAGAAGAAAATAATGTAAAATGAATTCGGCTTCTCACATAAGATAGAATCAACTTGCAAACTTAACTCTTCAGAAACACTTTTCATTTAACTTCTCCAAAAACTAAGGTGTGCAAGTTTAATATAGCTTATGGAGAGGCTAAATAATTTATGGACTTTTTCTTCTGGATAAATTATCCACATAGAGCATATATATTTTTCATTTCATATATCAGAAAAATTAGATGAAGTTTTACCCTTCGCACATCTTTTGGAACTTTTTCCACATGCACTCTTGGCTCATGATCGTCAATGTCACTGCTAGCAGATGAGGATTGAAAACTGAGACTCTCCTTATCCCTTCCTCTTTTTATTCCCATGCCTCTATCTCTTCCTCGGCCACTTCTACTCCGAATCAAGGCCTTACCATCACACTGTTCTTCTGTCTGCGCACTTGGCTGCACATTCTCCATCTCTGATATACCAGGTACTGAAGAAGGTTTATCATTGTCTTTCTTTTTCTTTAATTGTTCCTTGGCAACAGTATCATTCTTCCTTTTCTTTGACTGTTGTATTTTTGCTTTCCTTCTACATTGAAGACTTTCGTCTTTTCCCCTTGAAATCTCTAATGTGGTATCCTCAGGTTCTCTACCAGTCATCCTACTCTTGGGCACCTCTTCTGCAGAATCATCTATCAAATCTGAAGGCTGCTTACCAGTTATTCCTTTTACTGCCTTCTTAATTCTTTTGCTACGGATTTTTGCAAATCTCTCATTAAAACTGTAAAATGCTTCCAACCGCAATTGAGTCTACATTAAAAGATTAAACTAGTATCAGGATACTCGTAATAATACGAAAAAATGAAAAGACTCTAGACACTCAACAATTGGAAAGGTTGCTTACTTAGAGATCAAATTAATTTCAAGTTTTAGTACGATAAAAATCTGTCAGTAAAAACAGGGAGGAGATCATTAAAACAAAGTCTCTAACCTCACGTTTATTATACTCCTTTAACACAGGTAATAGCAATTCATCTGCTTTCTGGCCAATCCAGCCAAATTTCTCCCAGCACAATCTGTGTACAGAACGTAACATAAAATTTCAGAGAATATACACACATATTAAATACAGGTTGGTCAGAAAGACATTAAGTAAATTCCAAAAGTGAGATCAATAACGTCTCAAAAGTCAAGATATATAATAATCATGTTTAGATTTATAACTTAAAAGGAAAGCATCGATCAATATCAGGGAAGACTGCAAGTTTATCAAGCCATAGCGCTCACAGATACAAAAAGTACAGACCTATCCAAAGAATCAAAGATGGTTTTCAAAGAAAAGCATGGACCAATTTTGGGGAAGACTGAAACTTTATCAAGCCATAGTGCTCACACAAAGTACAAATTTTCAACTCTAAAAGAATCAAATCAAATTCATGTATAAAGTCATTGTCCAAACAAGTACTGAATGGTCATTTAGTGGAAATAGAAAAAGTTAAGGAAACAAGTAAATTAACATACAAACTCACTTTCGAAGAACAAGATGATCTGGCTTGCCCCACGTGAAAGGCTCAGTTGATTTATCAACATGTGGAGAACAGTAAGCAGATATAACTGTTTCACTTGGAAAAGAAGCAGGAATGTGCCAATTCTTGCTAACATTTCTCTATTAAAAGAGAAAATAAATAAAGTCACAAACAAAGATGATCTAATAAATGCAAATTTATCCTTCATTACATTAATGGAGAGCACAAAAGGCAGGAAATCACTTACATGCTTCTTGAAGAAAGTTTTCTTTATTTCTGGAATGTAATCTGGCAACTCGTTTTGCTCCTGAGCATGGGAGATGTTCTGCTCTGATGAAGACTCTTTAACATCAGAATTTAAGGAATTTATCTTTTGCTCAACTTTTGACCCTTTCTTTCTGGTATTTGATCCACTTTTTGTGTCCAACCTTCCAAGGATGGCGGGATCCGGTGACTCGACCCATTTCCGGAATTTCAGGAGGCCATCTTCCTCAGGGAATGCATTCAGAACCTCAATAGCATTAACAATGCCAATCCCGCTACATACATAACACAAACAAGTTCATAGATGCATAAACTAACATATATATATATATATATATACAACTCTACTACTACAAAGAAATACATGGAAGGACATCTACCAAATATCTTATTATTGCGAGTTGGATAAAGAAAAGTCAGATATACATGTATAGCAACATCTCATCTCAAATGGGAATGGGCCACCACTAACAAGCCCAAAATATACTCTAGAACAAGGTAAGAATGGTCAAACCTTACACCTTCAGTATAATCACTCCCTAGAAGTAGAGCCATGCGTATTAATTTTTCTCTGGTCAGTCCAAGCTCCTTTTCAATGTCCTGAACCAATCATAAAGAGAAGCATGAAAACAAAAAGGTTTTACAGCAGAGATTTATTTACAGACACTGTATTTAGTAAATATAGACCTCCATGAAGTATGTCTCTACGTATTTGCGGTCATCAAATATATTTTTGTAAACACTGCGTGCCCCAAATAAAAGGACATCAGAGTCATCAGTCACAACACCATCAACTAGTTTCTCAAGTTCCAAATAAGCACATTGAGCTTCTGCCTCCATTGGAGCAATAATATATGGCAAGCCAAACATTTGCAGTAGTTCCTAGAGAGTATCAGATGCATCAGAAACAAATGGGATCAAAATAATTAACCCCTGGAAAATCACTACTGACCAATTGCTTATGTGAATTAAATGAGTTCATTTGGTAGTAGTAGAAGTAGTAGTAAGGGTAGTACTAATAATAATAATAATAATAATAATAATGAAATAAAAATAGCATTATTGATGATGCTATTAATAATAATAATAATAATAAAAAGTATTAATATCCTACTGAGGATCCTGACTTCATCCATCAAGGCATCAATCTAAGCTATAACTATTTCAATACCATCAGACTAAAATGTAAAACTGAAGGACAATCACAAGTCGTAGTTATAATATTTCAATACCGTCACAATTAAATGTAAATTTGAAGCATGATGCCAAAGTCAACTAATCATGTTCTATAAAGCATCCAAGCCTTGTCAACCGATGTGTGCAGAAGAGTGTGGAAAAAAACTAAGTGTATGTTTGGGTAGCACTTGAAATCCTAGTTGCAGGATGTAAACTGCATTTCTATAGTACATTTCTTGTTTGGTAGCTTTCTAAATAAATTTTGGAGGAAAGTAGAACTGATATTGAGAACTGGAAATGTTTAACTTTTTCTGACAAAAGAATTGGTTGTGGGTGAGAGATTCATAGAAATATCTGTACTTAATCCTCTAAAAGTGATTCTACTCCAAACAAAATCAACTCTTCTAACCTCACTTAAATATCATTCCCAAATAGTTTTTTTACAAACTTCTTTCAGAATCAATTAATTTAGCATAATTCAACCAAAACCTACTACAAAATGAAAATCACAGTAATAGTTTTTATGACATTTAATATAGCCACAATATGATATCATTGACGTATTATAGATCAGTCTCAGTTCAACACCTGACATTCAGTGAATAATTCACTGTTTACAGATTCTGCATTCCGCTCTAGCTTCCTCTGCTCATTCTCTAGTTTAATATATTCTTGACCAAGAATTTGAATTTCTTCCTCCAAGCTAACCTCAGTTGCAAGAGCAGGAAAATCCCGTGGGGTGTTAACCGCATCCTTGTCATAGCTACTCTTCCTTTCATCAAAGGAAATTCCATTATTGTCCTCTGAAGCCAATTTTGGCTCAATAAGAAGGTCTTTTGGTGTTCCTTTCAAGGATGATTCCACCAAAAGAATAGTGGGTTTGGTAGTGTCAGTACAATTTCTCAATGGTTCAGATTCATGAATATAGTTCTTTTTCTCCTCTTCAGTTCCATCAACTGGATCGACCTTGGATATATTCCCACAATTCAAAGACACTTTATCATTATCATGTTTATCCAATAACTGCTCTGCAACCACAGGGACCTGGGCCTTCGTCATTACATTTGTATCTGAAATTGAATCTTCAGAACAAGGGTGGCCATTCCATGTGCAAGCTGTGTCAATCAATATCTCAGTTTTATTCGAATTAAATATCATAGATGGCTTTGACGGACTTCCATAAAAATGGAAAGTTTGTGCATTATTTCCAGAAACAAAATCATGCTTTTTATCTCCATCTTCTATTTCATGTAATTCGTTTTTATCAGTACTGTCTTCCCTACACAAAGTGAATCCCTCCATATTATTTTTATTATTTAGGAACCCAGTGTTATCATTTAAATCCATTGGGTCAGAACAAAACAGATCATCATCATGTTCTGAATCATGATCCAGTTTGTTCTCATAAGTATTTGAATGCTCATCTACCAATGACATACATTTGCGTTTTCCATCCTCTGTAATCTCAAGACTTCTCTTTATTGCCTCCTGCAAATCGGACTCCTCTTCCAAACATCCTCTAGATGCAAATTTTCCTGACAGTAAGCTGTTGTTAGCAGCATCACAATCTCCTTCTTCCCATTCTACTTCACTTTCACTACTATTATTATCCTTGTCTGCAACAGAAGATCTCAACTCTACCTTATCATGTTCAGGAAAAGCAGTAGTCTTACCTTCAACAATTCCTTCTTCCCAATCAGAATGAGAAGGTTGCTCTGCTGCTGCAGTATCATCAGCAGCAAAGATCCCCACTGGATTTCCTCCTACTAAACTAGAAAATATATCATCCTCACCATTTGAAAAATCGTTTTTGCAACCATATTCAAAAGATATCTCTATAGAAGCTTTTTGGCGAAGCATTTTTTGTTCATTTTGCACATCCTCTCCAACTAAGTCAACATTCACCTCTTGTGATTTACTAACAAGCTGGATCCCAGAACTTTTTGATGAACCCGTATTCTCTACATTTTTCACTGTTCCCAGATTTGAAGCCTTGTTCACATGTGCCCTTTCCTGCTCAAACTCCTTCATCAAATCCAGATTTCTTTGTATATCACGGGTCATACGCATCCCCATAGCTCTCAATCTACTCACACGAAATCGACCCCTCTCATCAAGATATGTCTGAATATTTTCATCAGCAATCTCACTAGGTTCATTGCAAACCAATTCACTTGATTTATTAAAATCATTTGCAGCCACCATGCTATTTGCAAGATTCTGGGAAGGATGTGCTCCCTGTGCCTTCTGTTGTGTATTTTTATTTTTCTCTAAGCTGGTGGAGGTAAGTTCACTGCCATATTTAGGAATGCAAAGGCCAAGTAAGTTGACAACATTAAAATTTCACAAGACTTCATACCTAATACACAGGAAAAGCAATCAACCATTTTTAAGACTGAAATTTATTAGGACTGGCAATTTATTTATCTATGGAAAAAATAATTGAATTGAAAGTAACATTACTCACTGTTTATCACCAGTAAAAGATGACGAGAAAATATATTCTCTGTTGGCTTCAGATGCAATCCGTGAAGTTTGTACACCACCTACTCCACCTCCAGCTGCAGCTTTCTGCACTTCATCTATCTCCCGTCTGAAAGCAACAGTTTTAAGGTAAGCTTGTATTTGTAGCTCAGAGAATTTTGCAGGATCCTGGAAGGAGCCAATTGAATGACATTTAGCTCAGTGTGAAATCACAACTAGTACTAAGGAGAAGTAACTCTCATGCCAAAATGAACTAAACTAAAATAACAACAGTATCAATGCCATCAAGAATCAGTATAGTGCCAAAGCATTGGGTTTCTAGATTCATGGTAATAATGTAATGAAAAAAAAAAAACTACCTATTTATTTTAGTTTTAGAAAAAGCAAACATTTTCCATCCAGAATCCCCACACTTACATTCTGTTTATAAGTACAATAAAAATAATTAACTATAAGGCTTTGCCACTTCCAAATTTGCAAATCATACATATTAGATTGTAGTTTTACTCTGTTTCCATGTACAGCAGCAGTATAGTGCTCTTTGGTTTTGACAACAGTAAACTCAGTTAGATTAGATTTTACACTGTTTGCATGTACAGCAGTATAGTGGTCAGTAGATTTGACAGCTTTAAATTCTAAATAACTATCAGTTAGTTAGAGCTTGACAGCTGTAAACTCTAACTAACTTCCAGTCAGTTAAAGTTCTCTAATATAAACACCTTGTGTATAACAGATTCAATTGAGTTGAGTATTTTGTGTACAGTTTCTTTCAAGTTTTCTTTAATTCTATCAGTACATAATACAAGTTTCCTTTAATTCTATCAACCAGAATGAGATTATTTGCCTGAAAATCAACAGAACTACCAATAAACAAGTCTCAATAACACTAGCACCCACTATCAGGAAAACATTTGCCACCCAGATTTACTAACAATCACAGAAGACCATTGTCTAAAGAGTGAACATAATATGAATTTAAATAAGAAAAGGATGTCCGATAGGTAGTTAGTCAGCTACTGTTCATAGCTGTTTCGAAGCTGGCAATAAATAAAGTAGGGTCGTTGCTATTTGGACTAAGACTGACTGAAAACTGAATGACAATGACCGAATTGCAGTTGCACAGTTCCTTTAACCTCTCGGTTTCTCCCCTCTTTGCCTCTATCCTCTCCAATCTATTTTTTCTCTTCCCCTATTCTTCCTTTCTGTTTATTTCTCTTTCCCTACTAAATTCTATATACTATAAATGACAATTGCAATTTTAACAAGGTACAAGCCTTATATTTCAATATATCAAAATTACATATGAATTTTTTCCACAAACCTTCTTGACTTTCTGATACTTTTGTCTGTTCTCTGCAATTAAACGCTCTCTCATCTGCAGAACAATATTGAATTGCGCTGATTAGAATAAAATTTCAAAGGTATTTGAGCTAAAAAGTACTTTAGGAACTAAACTACCTGAACAAGAAGGTCCAGCTGCATTGATGGAGGCAATGAGGCTAGAACAGCTGGATCAACTTGACCATGCATAGCAGGCTGAAAAAATAAAATGAAATAAACTATTGTTTTTATTTTTTTAAAGCATAGATTACACATCAAATCACGAATTTTAGGTATGGGGTTGGGGAAGCAAACTGAATGAACAGTTATGTCATGTATAGGACGCCAGTTAAGTGTCTTCAATAGCTGTAGGATGATGTATTTTTTACAAAACAGTTATGTGTGCATTTCTTAAAAATGCCATGTGGCATATTTCTGATTCATTCTGTAAATTACTAAAGTTTGTTTGAAGGAGGAGACTCATTGTACAGCTTATGCCTGTGTTAGTGCTCGGTGCTACACATATGGATTAATTCTAAAACTCTTTCACTTAAATCGTGCAATTTTAAACTCGAGGATTGATATTAAAGTGCAGTTAGGAATCATTGTTGCTTTTCTATATTAAGATTACTAAAATGGAAATGACCAAGACCTGTTGCCTAAACTATTAGCAGGTCAAACCAAATTAACTAACTCAAAGTCATAGATGTATCAAAATAAAAACTGACTAGTATCATCTCTTCATCTTCATCATAGTCAACTTCCTCTTCCTCATTAATGGAAGCCCCAACAGGAGTTGATGCTTTATTTACTAAATCATCATTTTCCTCCAGAGCAATAGATGCAGCTAACCTAATAGCCCCACAAAAACAAGTATGAATAACAAACAAGAAATAACATTATAACACCAAATTTATAACATTAAACGGAACCTACATTTCGTCAATTGAGGCTTGATTGTCTCTCATTGATGCAACATCGTCATGTTGGGAGCTACAACCAACCATGTCAGCTTCACTGAGCAGAATCCCCTTACCCTTGCCTCGATAATTGACTTCATGTTGTTCATGGTTGTCAACTTCCTTTACAAGTCCTTCTGTTTTCTTTCCCTTAAGCTGATATCAAACAATAAAATTTAACATCTTTTACATCTAAACCAAATGAAAGACAATATATCATATGCAGATAGAATTGCTGGCACACGAATATATCATATGATGCCTACACGAGTATTATCCTACATGAGAAAATATTATTGAAATCGTTCTATCTGATTCTTTATTACTTGCTCTTTAATGTATTATTTAAAAGTGGGAAAAGAATTGATTATAATGACGAGCAAGAGAAATGACCACATGCATGGCAGAAGGAAATACCATCTATGTATTTAAAATCTAACCTGTGCTAGAATATCAAGTTGCATAGACTGTGGCAAAGCAGCTAGTACCGCTATATCAAGTTCTGCATTTACTGCTGGCTGAGGGGAGAAAAAATATAGATGCAGCCACAAGAGGTGAGGAATCAACAAATTTAATTGCAATTAAAAAATAAAATAAGGATGTAACAACAAAAAAGAAAGATGAAATATTGCCTCATTTCCCAACAATAGCTCTATTTTTACATTGTAGGAAAAATGTAAGGGTTTGGTCAAGAAACAGTTATATACACAAAAATAGCAGAAAAATCATATATCATAGTAATGGCTGCTTGTAACCGTTCTATTCTTCTATATTTGCAAACTTACCAGTAGAATCTGTTCTTCTGCATCAGGTTCCTCCTCTGGAGGATTAATTACAATAGTCGGCGCTCCTTTTCTGACATGCTTTCCATTTTCCTCTGCAGCTAGGGATGCTGCTAGCCTAAATTAAGTCATCCAAAAAATTTTAGACAAATTATCAGTCATGTTCAAGATCAATTATATTAAGAAAATATTTTATGCAACATATTGAAATATACTTCATGGCTTTTAGCCCCCTTCATTTAGGATAAAAATAAAGGTGGATTACATTTCGTCAAGATCTTCCTGGTTGTAACCTGTCGATACTGTTGCTTGTGAAGAATTTATGTCCTCCTTAGTTGCAGACCTAAATAAGTAATTCAAAACAACGAACATAAGTATAATAAATAATTAATTCAAAACAATGACCATAACTATAATAGAAGAAGACATCTAGAATTTACAACAGCATGTACAGATTACATTTCATCCAGCTCTTTCACATGACGTCTTCCTGAATCACTACCAACAAAGTCCTTCTGATTAGATTTATCCTGACCCTTAGTATTACCATTCTTCTGCATCCTCTGGCTCTTAATATCATCAGCCACTTCCTTCAACCTTAGCGTCTTTAACTGTAAAAGAAGTAGACAAACAAAAGTTAAGATTGCAACGCATAACCAATATAAAGATAGTTACACCATTTTATAGTAAGAATTTTCTATATTTATTTGCCCGTTAGCATAGAATGGTACAACGATTCTTTGTCTGGTAGTAATGTGCAAAAGCAGACTGGAAACTGAAAATCCAAATTAACCATCCTCACATATCCAAGGTCCATCAAATCACACATGTTATACAATCCAACATTAAGGTTTAATGTAACTGAATTCTTTTCAGTTTGCAAGTAACACAGAAATAAGCACAAGTGTCCCTCGAAATTACAAAAATCAAAACAATTTGCCACGCCACACACTACAATAAACACAACATGCAAATGAGAAAGAGACGAATCAACATAAAAATCGCATTGCACCACCAACATCACAAGGAAAATAATGCAGGAGAGTGAGAATTCAGTGAATGAAAAGTTATTGTTCGTCCTCACTCATTATTGCACAGCAAAGATTGGGAAATTACTTATAGCTCATCGCTTTCTTACTACAGAAATAGACGAAAAGTGAGTAAATAAACTGCACCCAATTCTAACCCATTCAACATTCTTCCATTTCAAAGTGAATTTAGATAATTGTTTTCCTTCTATTGGAGCCGAACGATCAATGCAGTCACAAAAAAGGGACAAAAAAAGTGATCAAAGCCTCACAATGGACAACGCAAAGCAAAAGGTCGTACATGATTAAGCAACAATTTCTCCGCAGTTTTGCGGACTTTAGCTTGGGCGTTTTCGCGCTGGCGGCGGCGGGCGACGACGGTGCGACGCTTGAGGGCAGGGGTTCCGCCGTCGAAGACAAAGACCGGCTTGGTGCGGAGGAACAGAAGCTTGCAAATGCGACGGAAGAAGCCCAGCAAATGGGCGTTCCGAACCATTTCGCCCTTCTCGTCGCGCATCGCTTTCATAAACTGCACCATCCATATGCTCGCATCTGCAATTAGGGGAAATAAAGGAAGAGGATCGCTTACTTGATGCCGCGGGAGAGAGAACGAAAGTAATAGGATTTGAGGATTACCAACGGCGAGAGTTTTTCCGGCGAGGGTTTCGACGGAGACGCGGCGACCGACGGGGGAGAGTAGCTCCCAGAGACCGTGGACTCCCATTGCATTCCTGTGCGGACTTTTTGTGTGTGCTTCAATCGCACGTCAGTTCTGTTATCGCGCCAAACAGCCAGCCTAAGCATTACCAATATTGTTGGGCATTTAAGTCGGTCTATATTTTTCTTAAACAAACAAATACTATTAGGGTAAATTATTATATCAAGGGTTTTTCCATCTTCAACCTTTTATTTCTTTATTAATTAAATTTAATTTTATCCTAGTATTTTTTTTAACTAGTTTAAAATAGTTATTTCAAACAATTTCTCATTCCACCCTCCTTTCGCCACCTAATTCAATCTCTTATTCTTCCTTATACCCAATCATATTTATACTATGTCTGGATTAGAGAGTGTTACGAGAATGAAAAAGAAAAAAATATTATTTAAAATAAATGAATGAAAATAAATTAATTAATTTGATTTATTTAATAAATAAAACAAATAAATTAAATATTAAATTATTGAAATAAATTATCTTAATTATATTAATATTTTTTATTTATAATTATTTTTATTATCTTACTGTACATTATTATTAGTTTTATTGTTATATTATATTATTATTAATAAATTATTTGTATTACAATAATTCTGTAACAAACAATTAAGTAGCAATTTGCCATCTTTCTTCGCATTTCTTTTGCGTTTTGTGTAGAAATAATTTTATATAGGACTCACCAACCTTCATGATATTTCTTTGCATTGTATTAAAACAAACGTACACGTTTCTTCGCTTTTCGATCCTCACAAATTGGCTTCTATGGAAACATCTCAATAATAAAAGTATATTAAAAAAATTCACATTATTATTTAGAAATTAAAATTAAAATAGTTTAAAAACATTTTTCTATCTAATAGACAGTTTTATAAAACAACATTATACCAAAAATATCAATTTTCAAATTGGACAATGTCACCTATTTAATAATTCAACCTATAATATTATTTTTTTGGAGTATAAGTTGAAATATTGGTCTGATCAGGGTTTAGGTCACTTTTGAAATCTACAAAAAGTTGATTTATATTTTTCTTAATACAACAAATATCATAGGATAACCTATATAAAAAGAATTTACTATCTTTTATCTTTATTTATTTGTTTAAAATTGAATGTGAACGAGGATGAGTTTGCATTTATCATCTTATCCTGTTGTTGAATAAATCTTAATCATACACACAGAGGAAGTCAATTTATAACGAATGATTGATGCAACTATAAATTGTTCATCACAGAAGTATAATGAGATAGATTATATATATATATATATATATATATATATATATATATATATATATATATATATATATATATATATATATATATAAAGAGAGAGAGGGTTTTTTCTCTATCAAGCATACTAGTTAAGTGATAAATTCATTTAAGAGAAAAAGAATGAAAAAATTTTGATATAGATAAGGCAAAATTTTGATATTTAACTATAAAATATGTGTATCTAACGATGCAAAGATTAAAAATTTGATTTTATGAGAAATATATAAGAGAAAATTAAACATATATTTGAGTATAACAAAAATTCAAGACCTTTAATAAAATATTCTAGTGGTCCAAGATGAATAAAGAAGTAACATAATATGTTGTATTTGTTAAAAAGTTAAGATAGAACACCAAAAATCAGTCGGAATGTCACAATCCTTAAATATACTTGAATAAAAATGGGATAACTCAGCGATAATTTTGTAGTTGGTTTATCATAAACAATTCAAATTTTTGATTTCAAATGGGTTATTATGAATAAGTTAACAAAACTGATTCACTTTCTACCCATTAACATTGTGTATTTATTAGAAAAATTAACAAAATTGTATATAAGAAATTTTGAGGTTACATGGAATTCCATCTAGCACTAAATCTTATAGGGATCCTAGGTTTACTTTTAAATTTTGGAGGAGTTTACGTTAAATCTTAAGGACTATACTTCATTTTAGTTCTACTCTTCATCCCCAAATTGATAAACAGTCAAAAATGATCATTCTATCCTTGGAATATGTATTGAGAGCATGTATGCAAGAAGATTCTAGTAGTTGAGATCAATACTTGTTATTGATTAAATTCACTTACAATAATAATTTATATTTTAGCATAGGTGTGATACCTTATGAGGCATTTTATGAGGAAAAAATATAGAGCATCTTTATGTTGATTTGAGACTGGAGAAAATATAATATTAGATCCTAACATGATTCATTTTACCATGGAGAAAATAAGGATGATTAGACAGAAAATTTATATTGATAAAAAAATACGATCCCTTGAATTCTAAGAATGTGATTATATATTCTTGAAAGTAACACCTACAATTGAAGATGGTAGAGTGATGAAATCAAAGAAACTCTCTCTTATTGATTGGTCATTATCAAATTCTAAAAAAAATAGGTCATGGTGTTTACCAATTTTCTTTATCCTTTTTATTTCTAATATTTACAATGTATTTCATGTGTTTCAATTAAGAAAATATAAATTTGAACATTCTCATGTAATAATGTCGAACATAACACAATTAAAGATAACTTTATATTTAAAACAATGTCTGTACAAATTATCAACAAGAATATCAAGCAGTTGTGAAGTAAATAAATTTCACTAGTAAAGCTTTTTAAAATAACATTACTATGTAATAATTAGAAAAAAATTTGGAGAAAATTACTCTTATCTATTTTAATCAATAAAAATTCAATGACAAAAATTTTGTAAATATGAAAAAAATGTAATATCTTAAAATTTATCTGTAAATTTTTTTAAATATAATGTATTAAATTAAATTATTAGATAATAACAAATATTTATAATAAAAGACTCATTTATTAAAAGAAATTTTATTATTATTATTGTCAAATTATTATTGAAAATAAATAAATATTTATTAAAATTTTTAATTGATTAAATTATAAAAAACATAATTATTAATTTAAAAAATTATTAATATATACATAATTATTAACTAAAAAAAAAGATAAACAACAACTTCTTGGTACAAAATGAGATAAGCTTTGTTTAAAAATATATATAACATCTTGCATTCATGATTAGTTGCATTTGATAGGTTAATTAAAAAAAATAAAAAATGTAGGTATAAAAAGAGCTCAGGAAAGATAAAATGAGAAAGAAAGAGAAGAGAAGAAAAAAAAACGATACACGTAAGAGAGAAAACATATAAGGAACATAATAAGATATTTATTATTTTATTTTATTTTTAATTATGATGATTAAATTAGGTGTGCATAACCTCAATTTTTTTTATTTTTATATTTATATAATTATTAAGATAAAAAAATAAGATATTTATTACTCTATTTTATTTTTAATTATGATAGTTGAATCAGTGTTCATAACCTTATATTTTTTTTATATTTATTTTATTTTTATTGAATTTATTTTATTTATTTTAAGTTTTATATTTATTTATTTATCTTTAGTTTCATAAGTCTTATTTTATATTTATTTATTTATCTTCAATTTTGTATTGGTCATGTTTTATTTTTATTTATTTATTTGTAGTTACACACTTATCATGTTTTATTTATTTCTAATTACGTATTAATCTTATTTTATTTATTTCTATTTTTACATTAATCATATTTTATATTTATCTCTAATTATATAATATTCCTATTTTATTTATATTCAGTTATACACTGATCATCTTTTATTTATTTATCTCAATTTATGCATTAATTCTTGTTTATTAATTTATATTTATATTATTTAATTATTTTTAAATTTTCCTAAAAAATAATAGATATTTATATAGATTTGATAATATTGTAAATATTACTTAAAAAGTGGTTAATTTTGGACTTATATATCCTCACTAGTAACTACAAAAATCAATGCAAATATTTATAATATAAAATAAATGAAACATGTTCATGAAATAGTAAAATTGATTTTATATTTTATTATGAGATAACATTATTTTACATAATATTTATCTTCACATCCTTATTTTATTAATTATATATATTACAACTAAAAATATTAACTTAAATAGATGAAGCGTTGAAAATAATCAACTACTTTTAAAAAAAATATATTAACAAGTTACTTGCTTTTATATATATATATATATATACACGTTAATCTCATTTTATTTTTATCAAAATTTAGTAAAAAAATAATCATTTTAAAATATAATTAAATTAATAACATGATTAAAAAAATCACGTTACACCTTTATCTTGATTTTTTATTTTTATTATATTTGCTTGCTCTCAATTACAAGAATAGTTTAATTTTAAATTAGGCTTATGACTTATTATTATTTGTTATATATTTATGAGTTATAGAAACAAGACACTTTGTACACTTTACCACTTTGTACAATTTAACGTTAGTATGATATATTTTCTTATCTTTTTTTTTTTCTTTAAAAGATAAACATAATTATAGTAGTTTCTATCATGGTTTAACAAAATCCAACCAGAAAGGGAGAGATGAGGGTGTTTCTTTATAGCATGGGATCATATACATGCAAAACAAAATAATTATCACATCATCTATATAGATTTACGCTAGGTTTTGAGAATTCCAAACATCAAATTTGACTGGACTAAATAAACCGTCTAGAAAATCAATTTGGTTTACAAATTGGCATAATACAATCCAATATTAATATAAAGTATTTTCTTAAATAAATTATTTTTAAAAATAAATATAATAATAGAATTAAGATTATAAATCTCAAATCTAAAATAATTTTAAACATAACTATTCAAAGTTCATTAATTCAATTATTATGATTACAATAAATATAATTCGAATCCAATACTCCAACTATTCAAGTCTAGACATGGTTGATATATGTACCTCAAACACACTAAAACTTTATCTTGATTTCACCTGAACACGTTTATAAAAAAAAACGAAAAAAAAAATAAAATAAAAAAATTTAAGCATCACGTAACTCCTCGTGACCCAAGTGCAATAATTATAAATAACACAGTAAGAGACAATATGAGTAAGGGCCCATTACACTGGAAAGATTCCCTTGGAATAAAAGGACAAGATCAAATTTTTTTTTCCAAAATATTTACGATCTAATTATTTTTAAAATATACTTAGTGATGAAAATAAAAAATTTTCATTAAAATCATGAGATCTAATAAAATCTCATCTCTACTAAATATACAATAATATTATTTTAAATATATATGAATATTATAATATAAAAATATAATTTTTATTTTATTAAATTATTTTTATAAAATTGTATTAAACATCTCATAAATTCTAATATAATATTATAATCATTTTTAACTATATTTACGTATAAAAATTATTCCGATAAATTACACGTTATATATATATATATAATATTATAATATATAAATAAATATTATTATATTAATTATGTTAATTTAAAGATTAAGTTTATATCCAAATTTTCAATATTTATATTTAACTTTAAATATAATTTTTTTATTTATTTTAATCACTAAATTATTATTGTGTGGTTTTCTAAATTTTAAATTTTTTATTTAATTTCTATAGTTAATTTTTTTTCTGTTCAATTTAATGGTGTTGATGTTATAATAGTGTCATCGTATAATATAGGTAAAAAAATTATATTAAATTAAAATTTAATCCTAAATATAAAGAATTTTGATTTTAATCCCTAATTTATTCTTGTTTGGTTTTTTAATTTTTATTTAAATTCTATAGTATTTTCTGTTAAATTGAATAGTGATAACAATATTAAAAATATGAAGCATTAACATTAATATATATATATATATATATATATATATATATTTATAGGAATTAAAAATATATATATATATATATATATATATATATATATATATATATATATATATATATATATATATATGTAATCTATTCGAGAGGTATATATATTATTAGTTGAAGCAGTTGTATGTTATAAGATAGTCAAGGATTATTTGACTGCTATGAAGTGGGTGATTTTTCTCCACAAAGTGGAATGAGAAATTTCATGGTAACCATCAAATATTATTTTACATATTTTATTTTTTTTTTCATGGAAAGATCATGCTATATTTTTAAGACTTATTATTTTTAAATACAAAAAATTACACAGTTTGATTTAGATTGTATTACTTTTTTCCTCACTTCATTTATTTTACAAGTTTTATGGATAAGTCTATCTTCTTGTTTTGATATTAGTTAGCAAAGATTGATAATTGTATAATTTTGTTTAAGTAGAAGAAAAGATATATTTAATTGAGTATATATTATAGATTTTCAATAATAATAAATAATTTCATAGTTAAACAAAGTGAGTATTTTTCCAAAAAAAAAAATTATCAATTAATTTAGTGTAATACTGAAACATATTTTTGTAAATACGTCAATCTTTAAAATAATTCAGAATAAAAGAAATTCTTTTATTGTAAATAAAGATGCAGAGTTGATTGAAAAAAGAGAAGACCTAACTGTAAGTACAAAAAGAATAAAGAAGGAGAATTGAAAAGGAGAGAGAAGGAGGGAGAGAGAGATTGAGAAAGATGACGGAGAGATATTGTTACAGGGAAGTGCTTCCGTTCACTGCAATGGTCGCCATAGAGTGCACCAACGTTGGTGTGAACGTTCTATTTAAAGCAGCAACCGTGAAGGGAATGGGTTATTATGCCTTCGTCGCTTATTCATTTGCAATCTCCACTCTCTTTCTCCTCTTGCCTCTGCCTTTCGTCTTTCGACGGTGTTCTATGATCCATTCAATCTTCACTATTCAAATCAATTCTTCTCTGCAAATCGATGTTACTGTTCTTCATGTTAATTTTGCATTTATGCAGGTCAAGAGAGCTTCCACCGCTCAATCTCTCTCTCATCTTCAGAATTTTTTCACTCGGAGTGATTGGGTAAGACCAAACACTGCATTTCCCCCCTATTTAGATCGTGTATTAATATTTTGATAAGAGGGTTTTCAAATTCATTTCTGTCTTGCAAATATTGATGTTAATTCTTGTTATGGATGTTGAGAAGATTGACAGCTCAGCTTTGTGGATACAAGGGATTGAATTACACTTCGCCTACTCTGGCTTCTTCTCTCAGCAACCTCATACCCGCTTTCACCTTCATATTGGCTATCATTTTCAGGTTCATCTCACTCTCATCTTTCCATCTTCAAAACTAACCAAATATCTTGCTTTAACTACTGATGGGGTTTCTTTCAAAGTTTTCCAACAAGTCAATTTGAATTTCTTGTGATTTTCAAACGTTTAAGAAGAGGGTTATGTTATGCAAGATTCTTACATTCTTTGACTTGCATAAGCATTCTTAGGATGCGTAGAGAATAGAAAAAAAAAGGTAAAATATTTATAGATTAAATTGTAAAATTTATCTTAATTTGTTTAAAATTATATTTTTAATTTAACTTTAATTTAAACATAAGTTAGATTTCCGTTATAATTTATTTTTTCATTTTTAAAAAAATTAGGATAAAACTATCCAATTAGTAAAGTCTCTTACTTTTGGCATGGATTAGACTAGCATATACTGTGTCATATCAGAAATAACAAACTTTTTTTTTTTATGCATACCGAACCTAAAATTTTAAAATTTCTCAGGGTATTATTTATTAAATCATGGTATATTTACGACAAAATTGCATATTAAAACTATACAAGTATGAGTGTGTTTTATCGTTATCACAATTTTTTCCATATGTTTTTAACGTTATCTTCTAATATTTGATTCCTATGCCCAACGAACGTATTTGTTTGTTTGAGTGTCGACGTTAAACGTAACATAAGCGCTCACCAAATACGCTAAAGTCCAAAATTTTCGATGAATAATATAAGTTATGTCCTTTTCACTTCATGTTAAATAAAGATACATTATTGATTGCAATCGGTTTCGGCCCCACTGAGAAGATATTTCTTTGGGATATTTTATTTCTTCAGCAGTAATATTTTACCAGAAGTTACTATGATAATAACTATGGTGAAAGTATTTAACTCACTTTTCGTGACTCTTATAATATCCATGAGATTTAAAAAATTTAACCTTCTTTTACAATTGTCTAACCATTACTAAGAATCATTTAAAAAGTTCTGTTGCAAAGAACAATAAATACATCACATTAGATGCCATATTAAAAATATATATATAATGATTGATTTTTAAATCTAAGAATTAAATATTTATTTCATAATAAAAGAAGTCAATATTCAATGACAAAGAAGGGTCCATACCATACGTCATTGCCTGTACGATATTATTTACTAAATCATGGTATATTCATGAACAAAATGCCTTATTAAACAATATTTATTTTACGGTTTCAAAAAGAATATAATATTTATTTGGTTTAGAATAAAAAAAATAGGAGAAAGAATGTATTTTTTAAAATTTATTAAAAAATATTGCAAGGTAGTAAAAATTATTTAAAAATAACGTGATATTATAAATGTAGATATGATAATCAAATTTATAAATATAAGAATTCATTTATCTCATTTGACGAAGAAAAAATAAATTGTCTAGGGAGCAGATTTGAGTTTTTCTTGTTTTAGAAAATTAGAAAATAAAAAAAAAATGGGGACAGAATTAAATAATGTAATCTTCATTCGATTTTATTTTTACATTGAAATTGAATTATATTTAAATTTAAATTCTAAAATATTAATTTTTTTAAAATATTTTTTTCTTTTTTAATGAAGTTATTTTTCATTTCAATTAGTTTATTATATTATTTTTTCTCTTATTTTTTATTTTTTTATACTTCTTTAATATCTTCAATAAATTTGATTTTTATCCAATATCTTTAACTAGTTTCACTGAAGCAAAGTTAATTTTTCTTCTTTCTCCTTTTCTAAATATTTTATATTAATTTTATTAATAATTAATAGTATTTTATTTTTAATTTTATCTTTATTATATCATATATTTTAGATTTTATTATTTTTATTTATCATATATTGATTTTATCTTAATAAAAAATTGTATTTTAAAGATTAAAAAATATTAATTAACATTTTTATTACTTTGAATTAATTAAATACAAAATATTTATTAAATATTTTTTTTATAAATTATATATTTCATATTTTTTATTATTTTAAAATAATAATGTAAAAAATAATTATAATCAAAATTTGAATAATAATAATAATAATAATAATAATAATAATAAATATTTTATATCGGTATAAAAAAATTGATTATATATTTATTTTATATGTATATATTAATATAAATATAATAAGCTAAAGTATATACTTAATAATAATAATTAAAAATTAAAAATATTTATTTATGTATAGAAATATATAAAAATAATAAAATTAATTTTTTATAAATATAATTTCTTTTTTTAGAAATAATTTTAGTCAAATAATTAAACAATGGGAACGACTGTGAAAGAGGTACGGAGATTATTAAAGAAGTGGGGGAAGAAAACGGGGAGACAAAATTTGGCTCCATTGTCATGCTTACAAAAATCCTTATTTTATAATTTTTTAGATTCGAGATGTCTTTAAAAGAAAGTGTGAAATAAATTTTAAAAAAATAAAAATTGAGTTAGGTAATGGATGATGGTTGATGATAAGGGTATCTTTAATTTTAATACTTTTGGGGACCGAGGTTAGATATAAGATTTCTCATTATTTTATATGATTTTTTTTTTCTTGCCCCATCCCGAACTCTCTCCCCCAGTCCCTGCCTCATTAAAAACTCCATGAAAATCATCGTACCACTGCCACAGATACCAAATCCAATCTCCTTGGAACTGCAAAATTGCACTATCACAGCACAACAAACAATATATAAACAGGGTCTTAGTCTCTTATATGGATATTCATCGTGCATCAAAATGTGGGTGACTCCTCTCCATTTTGGTTCCTATTAAAAATATAAGATGGAGCAGGTTAACCTTTATAGTTAAAATAACATATAGATTCTAGTCCATCGTGTTATCGCCGGATTAACAGATTAGTCTATTAATATATTTTTTTATATTTTTTAAAAATATATTTTTATATATTAAAATAAATAATTATAATTAATAATTTAAATTATAATATTATAATATTATAATATATTTATATATTATAATAATATAATATAAAAATATAATTTTTTTAATTATAATTTTTTTATTTTTATTTTAATATATAAATATTATTTTAAAATTGACATCGTCACAGAACTAGATATATGATAGACAAACACTTGTCTTCTTGCTATCTCTCGAAATTAACCCGTTTTGCCACTAAATAAAGAAATTTTATATGCGTGTGATATAATCTATATGCTGTTTTATTTTATGATATTAATCCTCAGAATTTTGTTCAGAGTAATGTTTTAATAAGTTGATGTTATTAAAATGATTATATACGTTAATATAATTTGAAAATTTATTTATTTATTTCTATTAATTCATATGTTTTAGTTAAATTTATAAATTCACATGTTTCCTTGCTCTGTTTTTACTCTAAACGACGCTGCTGGTCCAATTGTTTGAAGGATGGAAAAAGTAGCTTTGAGAAGCTCAAGCACTCAGGCCAAAATCCTGGGTTCGTTCGTGTCTGTAGCAGGTGCACTCGTAGTTTTACTGTATAAGGGTCCCAAAATCTTTTCAACTCCATCTCCTACTGTTCATTCTCCAATGCTATCTTCATCACAAACAAATTGGGTTCTTGGTGGATCCCTACTTGCTGTTGAGTATTTTTTGGTTCCAATCTGGTACATTGTTCAGGTATTAAACACACTTAGCATTTCTTTTTTCATTTTACTTTCTGTTTCTAAATATTTATTTAAAAAATTTAATAATCATATTTTCCTTTTTTTTTTCTTGTTATTCCTACACTTAGGTCCTTTTATTGTTTCAAAAACATTATATTAATTTATTATTTTGCTTTAAGTGAAGTTTAAATATTAATTTTAGAAATTTATATGTATTTTTTTCAATAAATACTTTGTATATTATATTATTATATTAAATAATAATAATAATAATTTATCAAAAATAGTTTGTTTTTAATTAAAATTTTAAATGTTAAATTTATGTCTTCACAAATTCAGTTATGATAATCTTAAAAAAAATGGTTTATGTTAAAATTTTGATGAAATCGCATTGTAATTAATTTAATTTAGTATACTTTACTGTAAAAATGATGAAAAATAAAACTTTATTTTTCTTATCTTACGTGTAAAGAGAAATAAGATATAGAGAACTCGTATGGACTCATAAGAAAAAAATGTTTAATTGATTTAAATAAAAGTAATTTCAACTGCTTCACTATTATTTTCAAACTATCTTTATGTTTGAATTTGAGCATCATCTAAACAAATATAATGAGGATAATTTATCAAAATGTGTTACTTTATTAAATAAAATTAAGAATATCAAATGGAGTGACTGCTATTCTTAACGAGTGTGAAAGTAATTAATTTTATTTACATTTAAGTAAAGAGGTAGTAGCATTTTTTTTCATTAACCATAAAAATAATAAAAATAAGCATTTATTTTTGCAAACCAAGAAATTATAAAAAAAGAAATACTAAAATAGATTTTTTGTTGCTTGGAAACAGACCAGTATTATGAAAGAATACCCCGCAGAGTTTATTGTGGTCTTTCTGTACAACCTGAGTGGGACTCTCTTGTCTGCACCAATTTGCTTTCTATTAGAGGGAAATCTGAGAGCTTGGAAGCTAAATCCTGATGTAACATTGATCTCTGTCATATATTCGGTGAGAAGCAAACACAATGCTGAATGATTGAGTCATCATGGAAATGAAATTGAAACTGAGTTATACTTTTACTTCATGCAGGGTTTCTTTTGCACGGGGCTAAGTAGTTTGGTTCACACTTGGGGCCTCCATCTTAAAGGACCAGTTTATATATCAATCTTTAAGCCTTTATCCATTGTTGTTGCTGCTGTTTGCAGTGTTCTTTTCCTTGGTGAAGCACTGTATTTTGGAACGTATGGAGTTCATTTCCTTTTCTCCTTGTTGGATTCTAGTTCTGCAAAATTGTTGGAATCAGTTGAAAGTACTAGAGAACATAAATGTTTGATTCATTTTGCAATGCACTTTTTGACATCAACATTTTATGTTTCAAACTTTGTAGTGTTCTTGGAGCAGTGATACTCTCATTTGGGTTTTATGCTGTGATATGGGGTAAAGCAAAAGAAGAGGATTTGTGTGAGGACTTTGACATGCGTCCTCCATCAAGTAGTAAGAGTCCTTTGTTGCTCAGCCACAAAGGGAAAGATAAAGAAGAGGGCAACCTTTGTTGACTCATGATTTGCAATACTGCTTGTGAAATCCAAAAAGTCTCACGAAATTAGTATATTGCTTGTGGAGAAAGTGTCACCTTGTACAAAATTTACAAGAATTTACATTTATTGTAATTTTTTCTGGATTTTTTTTTTGAAAAAACAGCTATTCTCTCATTATCTATTTATGCATTCGTGTAAGAATCTAATACATGGAAGGAAGCTCTTTCTTAGAAAAGTAAATAAAATACACCTCAAATAATAACAAATAATTTATCAAGCATATTGATTGTATAATATTTTTCATAGAATGGTGTATTTAAATATAATCATAAAACTCTAATCTTATTTTAAAAAATAAAAGTTCTCATAATCAAATAATAATTATTCAAGATATTAGTAATATCAACAAAAAAATCAAAATGTCTCAACAAATTCTTAATTATTTTTTTTACTTAATTTTATCCCAACAAACTCTTAAACTAATTATTTTTTTATTTAATTTTATCAAACAAATCTCCCTATAAAATTAAATCTCTCTCTACAACAAAAATGAGATCGGTATGATCAATCTTCTGACTTATCGACTTGCCAACTTATCAATTTGTCACATTGTTATTGTATTCAATAATTCAGATCTTCTCGTCAATAATAGTTCAGTCTTTTTCATTCTTCAATAACTTAGACAAGGTCACTTTAGAATCTATTACTTGGACTTAACTCGACCAAGTTTGTCTTTGGAATAGAAAGAGTGAGAGATCCACAATTTATTGATTCTGTTATTTCTTCCTCTTTCTTGGTTTTCAAACTTGCTACTACTGATGGTGCAACAACTCGACCTTCTCCATCATTCTCTATTGAGTCTCCCTCTCCCCGACTCCATTCACTTGTTTCATCAACTTAGACTTCACGATCAACATCATAATTATTATTATGAACTAACTCAGTTAAATCACAAAATTATAGGTGACCAGATCCATTATTTTTCTTCAACGTGTCTTCTACATTTAATTTCAGACTCCTCCCATGGATGCATCTTAAGTGCAACTTGTAACTTCTATTCTTCCCCATCTTTACTAAGACAATCAACCTTTCGAGTTTATCATTCAATTGTAGTATTCGATTTTTCATGAAAATTGAGTATCGTCTCTCCATCAGTTGTCCTATACTCAAAAGGTTATTCTTAAAATCTAGAATATAAAGCATATTTCGGATTGACTCGACTAGGCCATCATTTTGCAAGAAACAAATAATATCTCGACTTTTTACCGAGACCTATGAGTCATCTCCAAATGACACATGATCACCCTCAAATTTCTCTAATTTGCTAAATAGGTATTCGTCCCCACACATGATTATTCATACCTTTATCCAAATATCATACCAACTTGTGATCAATATCTTCTCGAACTCCTTCATTGCTATTTCTCGAGTTAAGATCGCAATAATATTGCTTTTTCAACTTCTGTCTCCTCAGGTCTCTCCCACCTTTTTCCTAGCTTGACATTCCTTCGCAAAATGTCCAACCTCACCACAATTGTAACACTTGTCTAAATAACAATCATTTGCATAGTAGTAATATTTGTCACACTTAAAGCACTCGACATTATAGATCAGTGACCGACTTCCTCTCTAATTATGTCCACTATCACGCCAATTTCAATTTTGTTGATCTCCTTCTTTATTTTTATCATCTCGACTATCTTCACCTCGTATTCGACTATTACACCAAATCCTTAATTGTTAGTAAAGAACTTTTTCACTTGTCTCATTTTGAAGAACTACTACGTTTTTTTTAAATCATCAGTTAATAACCTCAAGATCTTTTCACGATTTATTTCGTGAAAAACGTCTCTCCATGCTAATTAGATTGTTTTGTCACATTTTTTAACACTGGAGACGTATTCAGAAATATCTCATTCTTATACTTTATGTCTCGTTTCCATTTCGTTATAAAGTCTTTTGCCGCCAAATATTTATTATAATTATTATTACTATTTTTATAAAATAAAAATATAATAATTAATCTAAACAATATTACTGCTAAGTTTAAGAATAAATATTTAAACAATAGAAAAATAAAATAATCGATACGAAATAGAATTGGAGAGCAGAAGGTGCGGTAGAAAATGGCGGGAAGGGGAAGCGATCCGCAGAAACAACTGTTGAGCTTGATCCGGAATTTCGCGGCTGAGAAATCTCAAGGAGGTATTTCTGTCGTGTCCTATTCAATCATTGCATTTGACGGAAGAACAGTAAGAATGTTCATATGATATTATCGTGTGTTTGAAATTGAATGGCGAAGAACGAAGAGTAGTGACTCTGAAAAAGCAAATCGCGAAGCTCACATTGGAACTCAGCGAGGCCTATGCGGAGCTGGAAAAGGCCAAGCGCTGCAAAGAAATGCTCGAACAGGATCTCAAAGGCTTCGAAGTTCAATTGATGATGAGTGAAGCTTCCAATCAAACGCTTGAGGTTACTTAATACCTGGTCAATTGGTACAATTTTTTCTATAAAACTTAAAAAAAAATAAAAAAAAAAGGAGTTTCATACAGGTTAAGAGATAGGATTTTTAAAAAATTGTACAAGAAAACTTCTCCAATTTAATTTATTTATAAGATAATTTTAATTTTTGAAAAAACTAATATTAAATTTTGTTCTTACTTATTGAGAAAATTTTGAATGCTTTCTCTCATCCTACTCACTCACTTTTAATAGAATTCAATTTGAACACATGCAGGCAAGGGTATCTCTAATTCAAGACCACATCTCTGCCATCGGATCTGATGTGGAAACGCTCAAGGTACTCACTCATTCTCACCGTTCCCTGGGATTTCAAATATTTTACTCTGTAACTTTTAACTGGACCTTTATGTTTGTATGGTGCGCTTTCATGATCTAAGGGTGAAGAAGCAGCTTTGCGGTAACATGTCGCCACTCTCCTGTGTTCGTTTCACCATTTTCCAAGATAAATTGTTGCTTCAATAGACTACAAATCTTCCATGTGTGTTTGCAGTGAGGAATTCTTCCACAATATGCTTCTTATGAATAGCAAGATAAGGTTCATCGCGTTAATCAGAATATAATGCGTTAGTTTAATGTACCATCCCTTAATGGAAATAACTTTTGCAACTCACATATAGTTACTAATCCCTCACTAAATGCAGGAAATTTCAAGAGAGCATCATTGATGCAGTAGATAGCACTGCTTCTAGAGGTTCTGTTATTCTTTTCACTGTTATAGTCTATGCTTTATTTGTAAAAACACAAGTCATAAACACAGAATTGTAGGATTCTATTATTGTAGCCTTGTTGGACGATATTAGTTTTTACTTTGTTTCGGTTCCTTGTCACAAAGTGCATTTTTGGACAAGAAGAACCAAATAGTACTTTTGCTAATCGTTTTAGTGACCTCAACCAGTAGTCCCATTTGTTAATAATTTTAATTAAGAGAACTTCTCTCCAAATTTTCTGCTGATTTTGTTATTACTATCTTTTGGTACATGTTTGTATTACTATGTCAATGCTATGGATATAATAAACATGAAAGAAGATTTTATTTCACTCGTATAAAATTTTAATGCACATCTGTTTTATAGGTAATTATTGTCATTAATCTTCTAGTGTCTACGTATTAAAAATTTCTTATTTTCTATATATATATATATATATATATATATATATATATATATATATATATATATATATATATATATATATATATATATATTTTACATTCTGATTCTAGTGAGTATTTCTTCAAGCATTCACTTCTCTTTGCCTACTTTCAAGTTGGTATGAGAGCTGTTTGATCCTAGGGAATCTCAAAATTTCATGTTGTTCCTGCCACCTTAGCTTCTATTCGCATTTCTCAATACCCTCAACTTAGTAAAGGGAAAAATTCAGTAACAAACTCCTGGTTTACCACACCCCAGCTTCCCAGTTTTCAATAATATCATTGATAATCCTGTTCACCCTAGGATACCTCCTGGATCTGCTTTAGTAGTTAGGCATCGCTCATTTCTTTGCTCTTTATCTTTGAATTTTGACGTATTTTATACTTATACAATTAAGCTTTTCTGCATGGAGGTTTTTGCCTAGAAACTGAGGATTCACTTTGATATTTTTAGATGACTCACAAATAATAATAAAAGAGAGCGATGCTGAAGGTGCTTTATGTGCCCTTGAAAGTACACTGTTAGAGGTAACATCTCAAATTGCTAAAGAAAATGAGGAATACCAAGCAGAACAAAACATTTATAAGAATGTAAGTTGAGAATCAAAGACTAGAATGTCAAGCTTCCTTTGTTATCTTTATGTTCTTAGATTTCTCTCTGTCTCAAGTTAAAGAGAACCTGCAGGTTCAGCAGCAATTGATTGATTGTGAAAGAAAGGTGGCTGTAATGAGCATGATAGTCATGGAAACAAAAGAATTGCAGGATCTGACCATATATCCTTACAAAGTATTTAATTGTTATAAATAGTTTTGGTAGTCTCTTCTTCATATGTTACGCAACCTACAATCTTAAAATTATTTTACTAACAGAGAAAGTATAATCCCTATAGGTGATGCAATATATTCATATAACGAGTGTGTTTCATTCATAAAAACACTACTTTGACGACGGACAATTGCACATGACGTCAGTCAAATTAATGGGAATGTTTCATTATCATATAAATTAGCATGCTCCGTCGTTAAAATATACTATTCCAGCATTTGTTACATTGATCTGTAGCCTAGAGACTATAGGAGGCACATATGAGGGATGCAAGAGTATAACTAACCAAAATTCAGCCGATCACTATCTAGATTTGTCGTTCTGTAAGTTTCATAAAAAATAAAATTGTATATTTTATTGCCAAAGATACTGCTTATCCTTCGTCTACCAAATTTTAGTACTAGTTATTCTAGTTCGTCTGATCATATCATTAACTTAGTTAAAGGATTTTAATTGATTAGCATAATTGGAGCATCTGTGTTATGTACTTAACTGGAAACAAGCAGTCTTCTAAATTGGAAGTGACGTACACTTCACTTGGTGAGGAGCTTCAAAGGAGATGTACGTGTCCTAGTTGTCATCTAGACAATTTGGATTCTTTCAGTGAAGTTCTGGCAAATCTGGAGAGATGACATTTTGTAAGTAGTCTACTCTCGACCAAACATTTAAAATGTTGATATCATCGCATTGGAATGATAATCGAGCAATGAACTTTGCTCATATTGTTGGCTTAAATTTAGTGAAGACTTTGTTTGTACGAAAATAGCAAACAAAACAAATTGTAATGCATTTACACATTTTTTCTTTCTTATATTTGCTTCTCATATACTGTGTTAGCTATTGACCAAAAATATCGGTCTTATTTGTAATTTCATTGTTCAAATAGTTTGAGTTGGCAATTTATTTATTTTTTAACTAATTAAACCGAAGATTTAAGATTTAATTAAACAATTTAAACTTGCACATCCAACTTTCTTTAAAAAATTTGTTTAAATGAATCAAGCTTCAGAATTCATTTCTTTTACATACTAAAATTCATATTTCACAAAAACTAGGTTTACATTTTATAGACCAAAATAATCACCAATATATAATTTTACAATTTTAGTTTATATATAATTTTCAAATAAATTGTATATTAAAAATAAAAAATAGAAAAAAAAACTTATATTATTAGTTATATATAAAATTTTAAGTTTCTTATTATGATGATTGTAATGAAAATTATTTAACTATTTAATCAATTAAGAGTCTAAAAATTATTGATCTTTTTCAGTATAATTTCTTTTAAATTTAATAATTAAGATTAATTGATTATTCATTAGATCTTAGCTATTATATATATATATATATATATATATATATATATATATATATATATATATTATTAAATAACGTTTATATTACTTACAAATTCTCAAGCACCAGAATAACATTGAGAGATATCTTAAGGAATGATGTATTTTAGATATTTAAAAATCTTATTTGTTTATAATCAATATGAATGAAAAGGTCAAGTGGATAACAAAATAATTATTGTTATATTTTATTTCCTTTTTAAGATTTAACTTCCTTCTTTCACCATATTTAATTGGATTTTGATGATTTCCAACCTTTACAATACTAATCTTATCCATTAATTTTACATTTAATAGTTATTAAAATTTAAAATATAAAAATAATTAATTATACAAATCACTATAAAAGATTAATATAAAATTAAAGAAGACAAATGACGAGTATCCAAATGCTATTTATTTCTTGTTTCTAAATAAAGGGCAAATCCTACACATAACAATATCAATAATATTCAAATATTATAAAATAATTTATGATAACAAAGATTTATAATTTTTTATTTGAGCAATGTCTAACTAAATATGACTTTTGTTTGAATTTACATTACAGTAAAATATTTATAATATTTTATTAATTCTTATATTTTTTAAATATGAATCTTACCTATCCAGTTAATTCTAGTGTTCAATATGTATAGTATCCGTACAGGTACATCATCACAGCAAAACTCTTAATCATATTCATAACCAAAGCCATTTTTCTGGATTAAAATTGGGACAGATTTCTATGGATAACCACAGATTCGAAGTTCCTTGCCAGGCCTACTTCTGATGAGCAAGAAACCCATTCTTAAGAGAAGTTTACCTCGGCAACTATTTCTACCATTTCTCGCAAGATAATCTCACTAATCTATCTATCTGGGTGAAAAAAGTACGTTAACGACTCATTGACCACAGAAAACAACATCAAACAAAATTCCATCACCCGGACCTGAACATTTACAGCTCAAATATCAACAGGCAGTAATATAAAGAAAAATTGTTTATATGAAAGTTCTTTGGTTATATGTTGGTGAGGTACAACGTTTGCTCACCTTTACCTGTGTTCCTGATCACTGCCACTCATTCTCAATCAATGAATAAAGCCATGGAAAACCAGTTGAAGTGCAAAAGTTTCAGCTCCAGTAGTAAGGTAAGCGAGGACAGGCGAGTCCCTCACACTGAGTTAGCCAGGTTGGTCATAAACCATCGAAGCCACCACCAAGAATGAGTAGTCATTTCCACGATGATAAGGTAAGCTCGTTCAGAGCCACTTTAGTGAAACCTAATTTGCCTTGCGTGTCGATGGTACTGCTGAATTGCACTGGATGTCTTTCGTGTACGTATTTGTGAGGGCAAAGAGTAACAGAACAAAAACAACTTGGGCACTCATGATGCCAAAATGACTGATACTATTTCCAATTTCCATCCAACTTCCTTTATTCCTAACCTGTCAACCATCAAACCCAGTAATAAGATACCAAATATATATATATATATATATATATATATATATATATATATATATATATATATATATATATATTTGACTCGACATTTCAGGACCTTTTTATATGAAACAGGTATGCATACGCATCACTATACTAGTAGAAATTTCAGGACTTGACTGAGCAAATATTCGAAATACACAAATCAATAAAAATGCAGACATTTCCCATTAAAAGAATTTAATCTGTAGTAGTATTAAACAGGCACAACAAAAGCTTCCCTGTATTACGTACATCCTTACCTTTTGATAAACAGTTTGCAGATCCTCAAATTAGACAAGGATCATTTACACCACAAAAATATAACCTTATAAATTGTTAAAAATATTTATGGATTAAGGGTTAAATTTAGCTGACTTCAAAATATTTAGTAGAAATGTCAACTAAAATAAAGTTTGTAATTAAAATAATGCCATAACATCTCCCTCTGTCATAATAAAAATATTATTTAGAAAAGTACCTTAAAATTAAAGGTGATTATTTTACAACAACATCATTGTATATTCTTCCCCATACTGGACCAGAGAAGTAATGTTCTTCATACCCCAACTTTAAATTGTCTCTATATCTGTCTCTTCCAATTTTTTAACAATGACACAGGAATGCTCTAATACAAACTTTAGACTTGAATTTCAGAGCATTCAGGAAAAAGGCTTGAGTATTAACACACACACACACACACACACACACACACACATATATATATATATATATATATACAGAGAGAGAGAGAGAGAGAGAGAGAGAGAGGGAGAGTGTGTGTGAGAAAAAAAAGGATGTTACAAAGGGGAATCCTAAAGTCTACTCTATCAGACTAAGGTGCAACAGAAACAGCTTTATAGCAGTCACAAAATCATGTCAGTAAATCCAATATAATCTAAAATCGACAAGGATATCTCCTAGTGCTAAATTTGAAGATCTTATTGGCAAGTTGGCTATGATTGATATTCATTTACCAACTTAAGGAAGAGTGTTGTAACTCACATATATTTAGGAGGTAAGGAAATATGTCTAAAAATTGCTAAGATATTTGTTTTCCTATTTCCAACTATTGTTATTTCCTTGATAAGCATTGTCATTTATCCTACAAAAGGCAAATTAGTAAATGCAGTCCTTTTTTTCAATTTATAAGAAATTAAAAAGAATAGGGAGAGCGTACCAGGAAGAAGAAGTGAATGGTCATCATGTCTGAGAACAATATAACAAGAAAATAGCATCCCATCCTTGGAACTTGATTTAGTTTGGTAATCGCACTAAATACACAACTGCAATTCAGTACATTTCAGGCAATATAAGACAGAAAGTTCTATTTAAATACTACAACTATACTTAAAAATGTTAGTGAAAAGCAAAAGCCCAAGAAATTGCTAAAATTATAAAGTCGAATACCAATGTAAAAAGCATCATTATGAAATATGGAAAATATATTTTCTACCTCTAAACTTCTCTCACAAACAGAAAAGGTTCAGAGATTTAGCAAGTTTTAATACTCGGGTTAAATAAAAACTATACGTAATAAAGATGCACAAAGTGCAATATTTGCCGACTGATCAAACAAGGAAATGCAATTATTTCTATACCCATGGGTACCCACCCTCCCTTACCCGATTTTGACAGATTTTTCCTACTTCGACTGGGGACAAGTGGGGGTCAGGTTTTCCTCAATTTTCAATGTCAGCAATGAGGGTGACAACAACAATGGTGAAGATGTCCTCAACAAAGACTCTTACTAGCAACTTTCCCTCTAGATAAAAATATTGTAAATAATGTTTGATCTTCTTGCCCTTGAGAATAATCTTGTTTTTTACTAATTGAGTGAAGTTTTCAAATCATACCCTTGGTGACTATTTCTATAGAGACTTTCCAAGTTAAAGACCTTTCACCTGCACAAGACCTATATGAAGATAGGAATTAGATTCTCCTATCAAATAATCAGAAGTACCTAGATCAATAATCCAAGATTAGATTGGAGTTATTAAAACTAAGAGTAGTTGTCAAAAATTTACCTTTCTCAGCTATGGTGCAAGGACTTTGAGACTCAAGAACTTTGTGTAATTGATCTAATTGTTCCTTAGTTAATCAAAGCGAGTGTGAGGTAGATTGCTTATCTTGGTAGGTACTACCTTGAGATGAACTATCCTCTCTTCCTCCTTTCTTCTTCCAATTTGGAGGCTTCCCATGAATTTTTCAATGGGTATAATGGGTATGCCATGGGTGTTTGCAATGCCCGCACCATGGTCAAACAGATTTTTTAACATCTCTCTTGCCCTCTTCATTATGCTATGGTTCTTAGCAACAGGACCAAGACCTTCCCACTGGCACAAGGTTGTTAGCATGAACCTTTGTCATGCTTATTCTCTCCTTACTTTTGAGAAGGTTTCATGATCTGTTGGCAAAGGTGTTTTCCATAGAATTTTGCCCCTTCATCATGTTCTAATAAGTCTAGCTAGGAAGGAACATAAAAATTGATCATTTTCTTTCAAATATTAGGGTAGAATCGAATAATTTTATTGCTAGAATATATCAATCATATATACAAGATTGAAAATCTAAATTAGGAAATACAATAACAACACTTAAATAATTGGATCTTTATGAATAAGGGATATTTCCACTCTTTAATTGTAATCTTCTAAATAAAGAAGTAATAAAATAAGGTTGTTAACACTCCCCCTCAAGCTGATGAATATGTATTCAGCCGCTCTGTTAGAAGATCGACAAGGTTGTCTTGTGAAGAGATATATGGGGTACAAATCTGACCACTGTCTAATTTTTCTCTAATAAAAATGTCTATCAACTTCAATGTGTTTAGTTCTGTCTTGTTACACTAGATTGTGGACTATGTTAATAGCAAACTTGTTTCACAATAAAGTCTCATTGGTTCATCCCTCTTTATTCCCAAGTCTTCAAAGATAATCTTCAACCATAGTAGTTTATAGATTCCTCGTGCTATTACCCTGAACTCTGCTTTAGCACTGGATCTTGCTACCACATTTTGTTTTCTACTTTTCCAAGTTACAAGATTCCCACCAAGGAAGGTGCAACATCCAATAGTTGATCCCCTATCCACAATTGACACTGCATAATCAACATTTATATATATATATATATATATATATATATATATATATATATATATATATATATATATATATATATATATATATTTCCAGCCTTACATTAACATTTCGTTTGAATAGAATTCCTTTGCCTGGGTCACTTTTTAAGTATTGTAGAATTCTTAGTGCAGCCCGTAAATGGATCTCCTTTGGCTGGTGCATGAATTGGCTAACTAGACTTACTGCAAATGCAACATTAGGCCTAGTGTGAGACAAATATATAAGTCTACCAACTAATCTTTGGTACATTTCCTTGCCAACAACTGTATCTTTTTTTGCATTTCCTAGTTTCAAATTTGGATCAATAAGTGTACTTGCAGGCTTACATGCTAGCTTACCAGTTTCTTTGAAATAGATCAGTAATATATTTTTGTTGGGATACAAAAATTCCCCTTTTTGAATGACCTACTTCAATTCCCAAAAAATACTTCAATTTTCCCAAGGTCTTGGTTTCAAATTCCTTAGCTAGAGGTTGGCTTAGTATTTGTTGCTCCTCTTCATCATCACCTGTCACTATAATATAATTGACATATACCAGTAACATTGTCACTCCCCCTGACTTAGTGTGTTTGACAAACAAGGTGTGGTCTCCTTGGCTTTGATTAAAGTCCAAACTTCTCATGAGGTAGAGTTTATAAGATTAGGGAAAGTAGTTACCTCATGTAATGCTGGATTGGATTCATGAACATGGATAGATTCTGGAATGTTCTTTGTCTTCCTTGTATAAACAAGATTTTTTCCAAATCTTACATCATCCTCATCTTGAGTGGATTTAGTGGGTTGAACCTCTTTCTCTAATTCGGTTTCATTTTCAGTGGGTTGAACCTCTTTCTCTGATTCTTTTTCATTTTCAATCCCTACTTCTAATCCAAGACTGAAGTTAAGAGGCATTTGTGGAGGATCATCTTCCTTTCTTAGACTCTCCCCTTGAAGATGACCTAGGTAAAAGTAACTTTCTTGCTCAAGAAAAGTGACATCTCTAGATACAAAGACTTTTTTGGATGGTGGGTGATAACATTTATAGCTCTTTTGTGTGGATGAGTATCCTACAAAGACACATTTTAAGGCTCTAGGATCAAGTTTTCCTCTAACACCACTATGGCCATGGGCAAATGATACACACCCAACAAAATATTCTTGGAACAAGGGTATTTGATGTGGCCATATCTAATTAATCTATTATTAATTAGAAAACATGTTGTTAGAACAACTTCTCCCCAAAAAGATTTAGGAACCTTATGTTGAAAAAGAAAAACTTGAGTTTGGTCAACTAAGTGCCCATTTTTTCTTTTAGCAATCCCATTTTGCTGAGGTGTTTTGACACAAGACGACTAATGAATGATACCCTCCTTATGACAAAAGGAATTGAGTTCCTTATTAAAGTAATCTTTGGTATTATCGGATCTAATCCTCTTAATGCTAATTCCAAACTGATGTTTTACCATTGAGAAAAAATATTAAACAACAGAGTTGACTTCAGATTTTTGTTTTAGTAGGAAAATCCATGTAACTCTAGTACAATCATCTATGAAGGTAAGGAACCAATGAGCATCAGATACACTAGGAATATTGAAGGACCCCACACACCAGTATGTATTAAATAGAAGAGAGAAGTACTCATTTTATTACTTACTGCAGAAGGTATACGCTTGTGTTTAACAAGTTCACAATGAAAACTCTCCACATCTTATTGATTAAGAAGGGAAGGAAATAACAATTTTATGACTCTAAGGGAAGGATGACCAAGACAACAATAGTGTAGAAAGATCTTTTCCTTGTTAGTCTTTATTAAATCAGAAAAGGAAAAATTGTTGTTTTTATTTAAGTTTGGGGGCAGTTTTGAGTTGTTCGAATGATAAAGGTCATTCCATTCTCTAGCATGTTCAATCATCATCCCCGAGTATTTGTCTTGTAGCATACAAACATTATCACAAAACACAACACTACATGATAGGTCTTGAGCTTTTTAATGCAAATTAGATTAACGGACAATTTGAGAATATGAAGGACATTTTTAAGGGTTATGGATGGGTTTATTTGAAATTCTCCTTGCTGTGAATATTTTCTTATTGTTAGGACAAGGGGCGTAGGAGAAGTGTTTAAGAAGGGGTGTCATGTGGTTAGTGGCACCCGAATCTAGTATCCAACATTGGTTATAGAATCTATCTGAGACATTGAGTAAAAAAAAAAAGAAACTTTCCGCACGTAAAGAAACTTTCCGCACGTACCTAAATATGCTAGAGAACAAGTACCTGTTGACTTATCCAATTTGTTGATATTTTGAAGTTCTCCATGAATTTGGGATTTATTATCCCCTATTTCAGTTGTTGTATTTATTGAATCCACCATGGCAATAATAAAACAAGGTGCAAGGAATAATAGGTTAAATTCAATGAAGGTTGCCTTTAATATCTTTGAACCTTTGCTCATGTTGGCAGGTTCCCCCCTCTATCATCCATGCTCAATTGAGTCATCTTAGCTCACCAAAATACAAAAAACTTATCTTGTTTCTATTTAAGTTGTCTAGATTGTCTTATGAATCATGTCAATCAAGAAAACATACTTGTAGTTCTTTTCCTAAGAGTATTTGAAATAGAGCTTTGTTTGTTTTTGCTGTAGTTCATTATGATATTTGGGGACCAAGTTGTATTAAATTCTTTTTAAGATTTTAGTATTTTGTAACTTTTATTGATGACTATTCCTAATGCACTTGGTTGTTGTTAATGAAAAATCATTCTAGATTGTTTTTCTATTTTGTAATTGTTAGAATAGGTATTATTAAATATAAGTAGAGTGTAGTTGTATTAAAGAGTTATCTTCATGTCGTACCTAGGTTTCTAGTTCAGGTTTTTGACCTTTGATCTTCCTTCTATTCAAGGTATCAGTATTCTATCATTATAAATAAGAGATCATAAGTGTGATCAAGCCTCTCAACTGTATTTCAATTCTATTTAATTTCTATCAAGTTGGTATTAGTGCAAGTTGGTCCTACTCTGCTTGCCTTTGTCTAATTGTCGTCAGTGTTGTCACTATTTGTTGCCGACCACTGCTGTCCATTGTTGCTTGGTCACCATCCACGGACATCCACCTTTGTTCACACAGTTGTCTTCCACTTTTTGTCGTCAACTTTTGTGTTGTGCTGCACATTAATACAGTATTGTCCCTCACTATTCCACATTATTTTGGTATTGTTTCAATACTATTCTGCACTATTTGTATTTTTTTTAACACTATTTTTGGTAATGTTACACATGATTTTGTATTTTTCCAGTATTGTTAGGTGTTGTTTTGGTATTGTTTGGCTAGTAGGATTTCTCTTGTAATCCTTATTTTTTTCACAAGATTGTTTTCCTCTATTCTTGTTTCTACCATATTTCAAGAATGTTTTTAGGAAGATGAAATGCTAGAGGAGGACGTGGTGGTCGGGGATATCCTTAATGCACATACTATAAGAGAATATGTCTTAACATTCCCTTACAATATGCATATTGAGGATGTCCCTGATCACCTCGTCCTTTTCTAATATTGTGTCCTCCTGGAGACATTTTTTAAATATGGTAAAGATAAGAATAAAGGAAAACAATCTTGTGAAAAAATATGGACTGCAAGAGAGAAACCCTAATAGCCAAACAACAAATAGTACCAAAACTATACAAAACTGTGTGACACAGTACCCAAATAGTGCGAACAATACCGAAACAATGTAAAACAGTGTGTAATAGTGCGAAACAGTGTAGAAGTTGACAATAGACGGCGATAGACAACCGCGGATGATGGCGGACAACCACGAACAAAGGTGGATGTTCGCAGATGATGACCAAACAATAACAAACAACTATCAGACAATGGTGGACAACAGCAGATAGTGATCACACCGGTGGCAGATAAGACAATCAGAGCAACATTGACCCACTTTGATACCAACTTGAGATAAAAAAAAATTAGAAACTAGATATATTTGAGAGGCTTAATCACACCTCTCTTGTGATCTTTTATTTATAATGATAGAATACTAATACATTGAGTAGAGGGAAGATCTAAGATCAAAAGCTTGAACTAGAAAATTAGGTACAAAGATAAGTATTTCATAGGTACAACATGAAACAACATTTTAATGCAACAACTCTACCTATATTTAATACCTATTCTAGCAAGGTCATTGCATGAATAAATATCTTATTGAGACAACTCGAATCCTTTTTCTCCATGGCCAAGTTCCTAACCAATTTTGGGATGATATCCTTATTGTGTGCTATCTCATTAATCGCATGTCATCCTCAATGTTATAAAACTAAATCCTGCATTCTATTTTATTTCCTCATCAACCTCTCCATCCCTTACCCCATTGAGTCTATGGTCTACTTGCTTTGCTCATATCCTTAGTTTTGGTATTGATAAACTATCAATTCAGTCTCAAAAATGTGATTTTAGGGTCCTCTCGATCTCAAAAAAGGTATAAATGTTTCTCACTTTCCCTTCATTGCTATTTGATCCTAGTTAATGTAACATTTTGTTAGGGTATAAGGTGAAGAAGAAGTTAGTAAGATAGTCAGCATATTAATGAGTTAGTTGTTTGAGGTGTTATTTAGATATAAAACAACATATTTACCATCATTTTCAGACAAAACACTTTGTAAAACTGATATATTTCCAGAGGATTGAGGTTTGCACAATCACCAATAATGAAATTTTTATTTCTCAAAGAAAGGACACGTTGGATATCTTAGAAAAAAGTGGACTAATGAATTCCAAGCCTATTGACTCAACCATCGATCCTAATACCAAACTCATATCTAGACAAGGGGAGTCACTTCGTAATCCTGAGGAATATAGAAGGCTTGTTCGAGAATTGTATTATCTCATGGTTCCTCATCCTAACATCTTTGTTGCATTCAGTACAGTAAGTTGATTTCTTAATTATCCATGTATAGGATATCGAAATGTAGTTATTCACATTTTAAAGTATACTAAAGGTGCTCCGAGAAAAGACTTGCTATATGGTCACAATAATCACATCTGAGTTGTGGGCTACTTTGATGAGATTGTATAGACTTTCCTTCTAGCAGGAGATCCACCTTTAGATATTGTAACTTCATTGGTGACAATTTAATTTTCTAGAAAAGCAAGAAACATAATGTGGTGGAGAGATCAGTTGATGTCTTTACCAACTCATTGGGCTCTTATAATTTATCATATTTGTATCATGTTTAGTACATATTACACACAAGGATTTTATTTTCATGCTTATTCTAACAATTACATTAAAGTTTAACCTCGATTCAAGGAATAAAAAAAAAAGGAAAACAAGTAATAGTGACCATTATTTTGTTAAAACAAAATAAATCATATCCCTGATCTTGCATTCTTTAATTGCTACATGTAAAAGAGGCCCGCTCTACAATTAGCTTGTTCTCACTTCTATTGTTTGCTCCTTCACTCATCACGATCTACATTTTGGCTATGCAATCCTTGAATTTTTTAACCTTCCTGCTAAGGAATTTGGACCTTACGTGTGCAATTGCATAGAGATTTGTAAATATTCTAGATGAAGTTTCAATCTAGGTGAGAATTTGAGAGTTTTGGGTGCAGAGTGAAGAAGTGGGATTAGGCTTTGATTCAAGACTTACTCTTTTTTTTTTATGAAAAGCTTTGTGGCTTTGGATTTGAGAACTACATAAGGGTAAAAGAGGCTAAGTAGCAACTAAGGTGGTTTGGAGAGAGAATGGTTAATGTACCTATGGAGCAGAGGTGAGGACAAGGGCTAGAAAACCCAACCCGTCAGAGACAAAGGTATTAATTGTTAACCTTGACGGGGGATCAAGGACAAGAACAAAGATTTGTTAGGGCTAGGATTGGAGAAGCGTAAGCTGCCTCATTTCCAACCTAGATCCAACAAGTAAAAATCAATCCTTACGTGGATATTAAATCAACCTAAGGCAGAATTGTTGGTATTTTATTTTTAAAATAATAATGATGACAAAAGGTTTGTACGACCGTATTCACTTGGGATGTTGCAGTGATGCTAAAAAAGAATAAGACATTGACTTTAGGAAACCCAAGTCTCAGAAGATATCGTGGAATAAATATAAATAGCATTATATGTAAACTTGCAAATTCACTTACATAACAAGCATGAAGGGTATAAATAACTTGAAGATGAGTAGCGCTGCCATCAGGAAGGGCTGCATTAGAGAACAAACATATTGGGTCAAAAGTTTATTGATGATCCTAAAAGACATCAAAAGAAGTTCAATTCACTTACACTAAAGATGGTGATGAACCGATAGACAGAAGAAATCTCAAAACTAGCAATACTTGCAAAATTTCCCGTTCCAAAAAAAGCAACATTGAATAGAACCATCTGCATGATACAACAGTTAGTTTACATGTAAAATCAAGCATCAAACTATCAATTATATGAAAGTATTGATAATCACTTAGGCAGAGCTTATATAATTTACATCATGGATACAGTAGAAAAAGCTTACCATAATTCTAGATGCATTAGTTCACCCTCGATGTTAATAAACACTATAGTTAAGTCATTGTATAATGCCAGCTTATTTGTGTTTATGAATGTTCAGAGAAAAGGAAATGAACCAAACAATTTTATTATATTCTAATAAAATCAATGTTCCACACTTACAAGATTACAACAGACAGCAATATATAGCTGTGCTAATTATGTAGCTAACCTAACTGACCTCTAACAAACTGGAGCTAAGTTTGCACAGCTGTCAACCTAAAACAGAAGCCATACAATAGAAAGTATAGAATGAGAAATTACAGAGTAAAATACTATACTCTAATACGGCTAATCCCACACACAAAAAGAAAAAAAAAAAATCTTAGCACTTAATGAATCCTTACAAAATTTGGCCTAAATTAGTAAAAAAGTTGAAAATTCCCTAACAATAATGACAGAAGTTTCTTGATTAGAAAACAAGTTCTAAGACACAAGCAACTTATAAAGGAGCTTCTAAGAACTTTAAAACAAAGTCCTTTGCCAAAACATTACATCAGGCACTGATCAGTAACAAATCATTTTACAACTTTAATAAAATAAAATGTGGCCAACCAATCAAAACTCAGCTGGTAAGGTTGAACCACTTCAGTTGGAAATAGCATCAACTCTTGAAGCTCTCACTGCTAAAAATAGTGACAATTATCACAGCATGCACAAACAACGGTAAGTTGGCATCGACAGTGATAACAACAACATCAGTGTAAATGACTAGTGACAGTGATGATTGTCACAGCGACCGCAATAATAACAATTGTGGCTAGGGTGGTATTAGTAATGATGGTGACAGTAACAGTTGTGATAGTGTTTGTGTTAGAAGAGCAGTTAGAAGAGCCAAGTAGTTGTAGTAGTATGGGATGTTTAATGGAGTATTTGAGTGTTTGATTCTCTACCCTTATCAATTTGCTTCTAAGGGTAAGCTCCCCAATTACTTGGGTGTCAATATGTTATCACATTCCCTGAGTCAAAAGAGTAACAACGTTAATGGGGAAATTTGTTATTTTAGACCTATATTGGTTTATCGTTTCATTTTGTGAAACATCAATTAAGCTTTAAAACAAAAGGGAATTAAGATTTAATCAAGTTATGAAGAAAAAAGACAAGAATAAAACTTACAAAGACCAACGGGATCCTTGCATCAGATAACTGCAAAGATCTATTATCAGATCCATGGATGAGATGATGGGTAAAACTTTTAGTGGAATCTGATGACTTGTTCACAATATTTAAGTTGAGAAGTGTATTCTCAAATAGTATCCATGCCATAAGTACAAGAGCAAGGCCAGCATAGAATAGAGCTTCATATCTGCACAAGTATCAAGCAGTAAAGGTAAATTTAAATGTATCAAGACATCAACAAAACTACAAAAACAACTGAAGAAATAGTCTGGTGAATGTGATAATACCCGATGGAGAGAAGAAGGAATGGAGGAGCAAAGCCAAGAAAAATGGAAGTCAGTCGGGATAAGAGGCTATTTTCTGAGAACAGCGGGAGCACCATTGAAAACCCTGAAGAGGTGGCCAATATCAATAAACTACAGATATTGAATCCGCAAATTTAAATACCTTATGCACAAGTAATTTATCAATAAACAGTGATGTAAAATATATAAGTACGTAAGTTCTGAACAATCCTGTGAGTATCTGAACTCTTCCGTTTGCAGAGTATCAAATAGCCTGAAGCTTTGCACAATTAAATGACAAATTACATTGCATATACAAATAAGAATAATACATGTTAAACTAATAGAGAATCTATATCAATTACGCTGATCAAATAATCCCCATTCTCCAGCCATATTGATTTATCTATAAGGCCAAATGGAGGAAGATAGACATTACCCATAGGCTTGGCAACAGGATGGGGCAAAGGCGGGTTTTGGCTCTCTGATCCCTTCCTTTGCCCTCGATTTTTTAAAGCGGGGAAAACTCTAACCTACCCCCGGTTAACTCGGTTTTTCTTCATCAAACTCGGGATGGGGACAGATCGGTCCCAGTGGGTACAGATTTAATTGTCATCCCTAATTACCCGTGAAAGCAAAAGAGCAAAGTGTGACAAGAATTGTATGCAAGCAGGGAATGTAAAAAAGTTATTCTCCAGCTTAAGAGGGAGTATAGGAAACATAAATACTTTAGGAGGTACTAGCTTCTTTAATGTTTATTTTACCAAGTTGCCTAGTTATTTGGTATAGTTACACCCAACGCATCTTAGGAAGCAGTGGTACCTAAATTATTCTCTGGTAAACTGTCTTGACAGTAATGATCTTTGAATACTCTTGAAAGTAGTTGAAAATCTGGTTGGGACCTTATTGAAAATCTAATTAGAATCTTATAATTATAGAAACTATGATTAGAATCTGCTTCTCAGACATATTATGGGTCAGTTTGGTTAAAAACTTACAATAAGTGTTTCTGAAATAAGTCATTAAAACAATCATTTATTTAAAAACCAGACAAGAATAGCTTTTTAAAATAGTAGGAAACTGCTTAATTTTAAAATAAGCAGATTAGAGAAACGCATTAAAAAATTGAAATCTTATTTTATTAAAAAGAACATTTTTTATGAAAAAATAAACACAAATAAACTCATCCTATACCATGTATGTTCAAATTGAATCTCCTATATACAAAATGAAAATATGATTAGAATCTGATTATGATATCATGTATACAAATTGAACCTTCTATACCTGTTTGAATTTATAGCTTTTTAGCCTATAAAAGACCGTCTGAGATACATGGATTCAGCATTTCAATGACCTTCTTGTCACTCACTCAACATGGTATCTAGAGCCTAATGAAAGGCAACCTTAATTCAGTGATACCTGGTGGATCACATCAGTGCCACATTTTTTTTCATAAACTGTGGTTTTCATTTTGATTTCCTTTTCTTGTCACTAGGTCCTCTTTTTCCACCATGTTAACCTCAGTCACCACCAGAAACATTTTCTAACCAAACAAGACCACCAGGATCAGAATCTTTTGATCTATCTAACCCCCAAAGTTACAGCCCTAATCACTGTTGCTGTTGGCCATGCATGGTGGCACATCCGGCCAGATTTCTGGCTCCTTTTTGCAGTGTGTTGGTCACCTACAAATACGCCTAGATCCAGTCTAGAGGTGGCAAAGGAATTCACTTATCCATTCCATCCATTTACTTTTATAAATGGTTAATGATTTGACCTACTACTTTTCAAATCTAATAAACCCTCTTATCAAATACTTAATGGATTAACCAACAATATTTTTTTCATAATTAAATCTTTCTTAAAAAACATTTAATACAAAAAGCATATTTTTAATTTTTGTTTTACAGCATATATTTTCAAAAAATATTTTTATCAAATTTAGAAGGAATAATATTCTACTTTTATTGTATCAATTAAGAGGTCATTGAACCTATAAATACATGGGCCTAAGGGGTTATTTTAGCAAATATGTACAGCTAATTCTAAGGAGACAAATCTTTGTGATTATGGGGTTATTTCTAAATACATAATCCTAGTATTAATTAGCAAGATAAGACTATAATAAAGAATAAAATAACGGCAAGGATAAAATATAAAACTTCCTAAAATACCCTATGAGTAACATGGTTTTCACACTCCACCTCAAGCTAGTGAGTAAGTGTTCTCGATTCTGAGCATGGACATAATTCTTTCGAAGTTAATGCAATTCAACCCTTTGGTGAGTATGCTTACAAGTTGACTTTGAGTGAACACATATGGGTGCAAATCAAGTCACTATCTAGCTTTTCCTTGATAAAATGTTTGTCAACCTCTATACGTTTAGTTCTATCATACTGCATTGGATTGTGGGCTATACTAATTATAGATTTATTGTTAAAATATAACCTCATAGGTTCACTCCACTATATCTTCAAGTCTTCTAATATAATTTTCAGTCATAGAAGTTCACATATTCCTCGGGCCATTGGTCAAAATTCTGCATCAGCACTTAATCTAGCTACTACAATCTGTTTTACACTCATCCAAGTCACTAGGTTTTCACCAAAGAAGGTCCAGTATCCAATTGTTGATCTCTTGTCCACAATTGACACTGCATAATTTGCATCTTAATATGCTTCAAGACTTACACTCTCATTTTTAATTTATATCAAATCCCTCTTCCTATAATCCTTTTAAATAATGAAAAATTCTACGAGCCACTTGTAAATGTGTTCTCTTTAAATGGTGCATAAATTGGTTTACTAGACTCACAACAAAAGCAATGTATGGCCTAGTGTGAGATAAGTAAATAAGTCTGTCCATGAGTCTTTGATACATTTTTTTGTCCAAGACAATATCCTCCACTACACTTTATAATTGGATCAACTCGGGTACAAGATGGTTTCCGAGTTGTCTTACCTATTTCTTTAAGCAAATCAATAATATACTTTTGTTGAGATATGTAGATTCCTTTCTTAGAATTGAGCCACCTAAGCCTTGTCAAATTGCAAACATTTATTCCAAGTCTATCTCAATTATCCAGTTTATCCTATAAGTCATGTGAACTTGGGAACCATAACCATACTTTTCCTTTTTGAATTCATGGTCAAGCTAAGTCTCCATTTTCCATGTTTGGTTAATCCATTCAAATGTCTAGGATCCTAGTCACTCAACTGGGAGGTTAAAATATTTTAATAAATACATAGATAAGCAATTGCATTGTACCAAATTACTCTAGATGAAAAATAAGGTAAACTATTCTCCATTTTTCAACATTTTTACCATGAGATAAAAACACAATTTGTTGTTTCTATTCATACTTTGTCTACTTACTCACAATCCTGGTAAACTTTCTACTTAATCTCACGAAAATTCCATTTTATGGTACACTCAACGTAAAATGGTTTATCATTGTTATTCACCTACTCCACATCAATACCTTGTCTCAACTAATGTTACCTTGAGTTTGAACCTTTCTTTGGATCTTCCTCCAAAAATGACTTTTACAGACACCTTATCTCTTCCTCCAATCACAGTTAAGTATATTATATAAGTGATACCTCTAGATCCAAAAAAGCATCCTCCCCATCCTTCCAAGTTGATCATCATTGGGAACATCCACTTCCAACTCTTGATATGCCTCCCGCTTCACGTCTAATTCTTATGGTTCTCTTTCAACATCACCTGCTCCAAACCAACCACCTGCCCTTGACCTTCTTATTTATCTTCAAAAGGTATATGATTCATTCGTTATGTTACTTTGAATTATCATCAACTATCACCCTTGAATTTTGCATGTCTTTCTTCCTAGTCTCCTATATGTGTTCCAAAGACTATATATGGTTGATGAGAAGTGTTCCCCGCAAAGTAATGGTACTTAGAACCTTTATTCTCTTCAACCAAACAAGATAGTAGTGGGTTGTCATTCAATTCTCACAATTGTGGTTGGTCTTGATGATCACGTTGATAGACTCAAATCCCATTTAGTTGCCACAATTCATACACATGTTTATGGACTAAGGTGATATTTTGTGGCCAAAATGACATATGTCAAGTTAGTTTTATCCATAGCTACTATTGGAGAAAATCTCCTCTACACTAACTTAATACCAAAGGCACTTTCATGATGATCTCAATAAAATAGTCCACATGGATCAACCTCCTAAATTTGTAGCTCAAGGGAGTCTTTTGGACTAACTTTTCGTCTCCAAAAACTCATGGTTTTAAACATTCTCCTCAAGCATGGTTTGAAAGATTCAACAATGTAGTTCAGCACTATGAATGACTAGGAATGATGTATCTACTTGCTTGTGTATGTTAATGACATTGCTATTCAAAATAGTTATCACTCAAACAAAGCAATATTTTTGTTAGCATTTCCAAACCAAGGATCGACTTTGTTTTCATAGGGATAAAGGTGGGACAGCCCAAGAATGGCAATTTAATTTCTTAGAGAAAGTATGTAATAGATATTTTAGAGGAACAAAGTTTATGAATGCTAAGCATATGGACTAGATCCCAATACCAAACTTTTCCAAGTCAAGGGGAGCTTCTTTTGGACCTAGAGATGAGAAAGAGATTGTTAAGAAAACTAAATGATCTAAAAATGACTCACCAAATATTTCTATTACAAATAGTGTAGTGAGTCAGCTTCTTAGCTCTCCCTGTGAGGTCATTGGGATGTTGAATTCAATATGAAATATATTAAAGTAGCATCAGGAAAAGATTTTTTGTATGAAGACAAAGGGCATACATGAATTGTGGGATGTTTAGATGCAAATTGGTCAAGATTTCCCATCGATAGGAGATCAAATTATATATATTTTTTGTATCCTTTGTTGGTGATAATTTGATCACTTGGAGGAATAAGCAACAAAATGGAAAGAGGATCAAATGCAGTAGCACACATTTCTCAACTTGTATGGCCTAGACAGTTGCTTGTAGAATTGAGACTTGGGGATGTTTTACAAATGTCCCTTATTTTTTATAATCAGGTTGCATTGCACATTGCATCAAATCCCATAGTCTATGAGAAGACCAAACATATTGAAATTGATTGTCTATTTTTTAGAGAGAAGATCCTATGAGAGACATTACAACAAGCTTCGTAAACTCAAGTGACCAATTGGCATATACGCATTGATGAATTCATTGAAAGGTCCTCAAATTAATAATATAGGTAACAAGTTTGGTGTATATGACTTATATGTTTCAACTTGAGAAAAAGTATCGAAAATCTTATTAGCCCTTAATAATTATTGAAAATCTTATAACAAACAGATTTATTAGAATTAGATGTTGAGGGTTTATCATCCATGTATCTAGGAATAGAATCTCCTTATTTATTTGCATTTATCACTTCTAGCCTATATAAAACAATCTCCATTATGTGATTGACATACACAGATTTAGAATTTGTATATTGTTCTTTACTACTAGACTCTAATGCACCGATACATTGGCAAGCCCAACGTATCCGTATCAGATACATATCCGATACCAATTCACCTCGATACTTAAAAAATTCGTATCGAAAAATAATCGGAAAAAAAAATCCAAACAAAAATAAAAATAAAATAACAAATATTTTTTTGTTATTACTACTGTTAAATTAATCAAAACATATTTGAATTATTTAAATACGTATCTCTTTTCCAACATTTTATTTTCTGAGAGCTAATAGTTTCATGTTGTTGTTGCCGCTTGTTTCTCTTTGATTTTCTCTCGCTCCCTCTGTCACTTGGTTTGTTTCTTATATGTTCCCGTGTTTGTTTCTCCTTGGTTTTCTCTCGCTCCCTTCGTCTTCTAGCATGAGACTTTCCTCTTTTTTTTGGTGTGGAACATTAGTGGAGATGCATTGGATGACTTTGACGATGTTGGAAACCTTAGAGTGGCAACATTATCTCTTGATGAACCGAGACATGGAAGTTGTTTTATTTACTGATGATGGAGAGGAAATTGATATTATTTCTATTTCTAAACAATAAGTAGTTATTGTTAACTTTTATTTTACATTTAAATTTTTTTAAATTCATATATAATATTTTTTATGAATTTTATATATATATATATCTTAAACATATCGTATCTTATATTTTTTAATATAAGACGAATCGTCGTATCCGTGCATCATAGCTGCAAGATGAAGACGGACACTCAGCACATTCAGAAAATGTCTTCTTATTTTCTAATTTTACATCCATGATATATATATATATATATATATATGAGAGAGAGAGAGAGAGAGAGAGAAAACATGGGTAAATTCACATGTAATGTGTATTTTGAGATGGAACAAGGAAAAAGTAGGATGGCATCGCCTGTATAAAAATGTCTGCATGGAACTAATAAATTCAGGCAAACAAAGAATCAAAACTCGCAACTATACCAGCAACAGACCAATTTATCAATTGGTGCGATGCAAGCAACTCTTGCTTTTCAGCTCTGTGAACAGTTGATAAATACACCATGACTGAAGATAAACCAACCAAAAGAACCTGGAGATGGACAAGTAAAGGAAATTAGTTATATTGTCATACATAACTAAGCTTCCAAACTCGATGGTTGAGATATCATGATATTCACCTGAAAGTAAAATAGAGATGAAAAATGGGAACTTTTCAACTTGCAATTGCATATACTTTGCCAATACTTCCTACTGCCAGCATAAAAATCCAGCCATCTTGCAATTATTCCTATGATTATAATAATAATCCCACTACAAACTCTGCAAACATAATAAATTGATACGTTTAACAGTATTGTTTAGATTCAGAATGTGTTAAAACATGATGGGGCAGAAAAACAACAAACAAAGCATAAGAGAGAATCTCAATATGAGAAAAGATAAAGTAAAAACTCGTGCGAGATCTTTCATCCATAATGGATTAAGGTACCATTAGGTAGAAATGTTTGCACAGGATCGAACAGACCATATGTTATATCTTATGTTTGGTAGACATAGGCTTCAAAAAGTGGTGGGTAGAAAGAACCGTCTGGAACAGAACAGTAGCATATAATTAATTATTTTTAAATGACAAAAAATTCCAAAACAAAATTTTCTCTTTCCTACTCTCTAGATGTCCAGTGGCATGACAGAGATGACAATCTTCTTCAACGCCAATTTCGTCAATCTGATTTTTCTTATGTGATTCTTAGTCCTGTGTATCTCGTGTGTATCCAAACTACTGTACATCTCCTGTCTCTCCAAACATTATTTTTATTATTTAAAAATATTAAAAGTGTAGTTTGAAATGCACACCACCAAAAAACAGAGGAGAAGCCAAATTGCAATTCATAATGTTACAACTGGATGATGGATTGCAAAAGTGTCAATTAATTGCACTTTTTAAATAACTAATTTCAATAACATTTCTGCGTGTCCATTTTGGTTAGTCCTCACAAATTACCTCCTCCACACTAAAAAAAAAAATTAAATTAGAATTCATGGGATGCGATGATTAACTTTTCACGAAACATGTTAATCATTTAATATTATATTTATAATTTATAATTTTTTAATTTTTAATGGTCTTCACTATAGTTATCACAGCTTCTAAGATGCAAGCATACATTATTAAATTATAATATTACTTGAACAATTATTCTTAAAGGAAAAAAAATGAATATCCAATTCAAGAAAATATGAGGGATGTGGCAGAAACAATTCATGGGCCCCACTAGAACATCTTTCCTTGCAATAATGAATTAAAATGGGAGGAATTCCGAAAACCGAACTTTTGTAGTGCTTTGCAATCCAAGAAGTCACAATCATCAATTCCAGTGTCTTTCCTTTTGATTTTTAATATATAAATTATTAAATTACCTTTTTAAAAATATAAGAGCAATTTATATAAAAATAATAGTAATATAAAAAAACCATGTATAATATAAGAGCAATTTATAAAAAATATTAATATTGTAAAAAATTATGTATAAGTTAAATTTAATTAGCATAAAAAAGTTTTTTTTAACATTTATTTTCACTATTTTTTTCCACTCTCTTTTCCACCCATCCAAACAAGTTAAGGAAAATTTTCCTACTTTCCTTCTTACTTTTACCCATCCATCCAAACAGCAATTTTTTCCAATACTATATCTATCCTTTCTAATCATTTCTTTCCTAATTCGTTCTTCTCTAATCCAAGCAATATGCAAATATATATTCAGTGGAAGTGACTTACACTAACTTATTATTGTCAGGAATTTCTGCTGGCATCAATGTGAAAAGAGACAAAAACCAACATGCTATGCAAACATATATCGGTACACCAGATCTCCAGGGAATTGACTTATAAAGATAAAATGAAGCACTGGCCCCAGTAATAAAAAAACACCATGTATAGAGCTTCCTCTCTGTGAAGCTGTTAACCTGCAATGCAAGCCAAATATTTCTTTATCAGATGAATTACAACATTACAAGGTTATAGAATATTACAACAAACACTCGTACCAGGAACTCAAGAATGAAAACTGAGATAGCAGTGGTGACTAGAAGCTTAATGATATAATTCATTCTCCTTCCAGATACTTTCTTCCATAATGTTTTTATAAACTGGTATTCACTGATTATCTGAACCCATAAAAATGAAGTCATTATGATGTATGCATGGTAAAGAGGAGGAGACTGCTCCAGCAACAAAAGCAAACAAAGCATTCCCGTCCCCAAAGATCCATATAGATATATCTGCAAAAGATATTATATTTATTTAATTGATGGAAACTAAAGTAAAACAAAATTGATGCTCAAATGAAATCAATAATAAATTATCTTCAGCCAAGAATCGTAATAAACTAACTTCGATATAATTCAAAAATATTCATTTATATAATATGTACATGCTTCTCCATAAAAATGTCTTTTATCTTCTTCCTCTTGATGTAATATGCAGATCACAAGAAATTAAGAAATAACATTTGGAAAAGCTTACACAAACATTACTTTTCCACGGTTATTTTTCTGAACTGCCTGCTCCATTCCAAAAGAATTTACTGGCAGTGAGGTATAAGACTGCAGAACATGAAGAACAAGATAGATCATCCAACCAACATACCCAAGGGTAATTATAGACATGAGCATCAGCCAGTCGTAAGTCTGGAAATAGTGAAGCCCTTGCAAAGCCAAATTTCTGAGGTTTTGGGATAGATCAATTGCAGCTTCATAATCTCTAGCTGATATCAGACCCTCAATTTTGTCCAATATTGAAGAATAATGAGACAGTGGTTTAAAAGGTTTAAAATATAAAGAATTTGACTGCTTAATATCTGAAGTTGCCAATGAAAAACATTGCTAAGGAACTCTTCCATCCATTTTGCTCTATCATTACCTTTGAAAGAGAAATGAGACTTTTTTGCTATCACTTTAATTTCATATTACCCTTTTTCTCATGAATTGGCTTTTTGAAAATCTTTATATTTTCCCATTAATAGTTAAGGCTGTCAGCATATTCTGTCTGCAGAGGAAAGTATATACACGCACGCGTGGGTACACATACACACACACACACACACACATATATATATAGAGAGAGAGAGAGAGAGACACACACACACACACACACACAAGTTTGAAAGGCTTGATAATCATTTGGCACAAATCAAAGCAGAAGAAACCATGCTGAAATCAAGGAGAAAGTCGGTACATATCGAAGATAATAAATAACCAACGTAAGCAAAGGATACGTGATTTGCGAAGAAACTGGTTCAGTATTTCTTTTGTATTGGAGAAAACAGCTTCAACTTCATCAGCCTGAAACATAATATAAATCAAATTCAGATCATCTAACTATTATCAGTCTTTTTCATGTAGATAATTTTACTTTCTATGATTTATTACAGGAATGACAATGAAAATACAAAAAATAATATAACATTCTTATGAAAATAATGAATAAGACACTTAAGCCAACTATCATGAAGGTTAACAATAAGCTCTTCATCAATCACAAGTCAGAACAAGAGAAAGATACCTTGGTCATGTTAATGTAATTTAGGGGTAAACTTCCAACTGAATTAACAGGACATGGCAGACCAAGCAATGTAGACTGTCAAAAAACCAAGTATATTAGACAAATGAAACCTAAGGATGGTTGATGAAATATTCACTACACTATCAAATCCTTAAGGAAAAATAAATTTTACAACCATGAGTGGTGCAATATCCGCCTGATTGACATCCACCCTTTCTATCTCGTGCAAGCCCCATTCAACTGGTGTTGGTGTGTCATGCACATGGTCATCAACAAACTTAAATCCACAATCCGAATGGTTGCTGCTAGATATTGGCTTTGGATACTGAACACCAGCTCCCCAAGCAACAAGAGGAGTATCAGTATTTGAAGGATGCCCATCTCCATGGCTTCCTATGATTAGAAGTTACATAATAAAAAAAAAAGGTACATAAAACCATTACTATAACTATTTCACAAGAACAGCCAATTAAGAATAATAAATACTAAGGCAAGGACTGGGAAATTGAAGATTCTCTCAAGACCAAGGCAAGGACTAACTCCAGGAGCAATTACTCAATGCATTCTTTCATGCCCATCTCCATATGTGGAATAAATACTAAACAAGTGTTGTGCAGGAATGGTTTCCAAGTATAAAACTAAAAAATGCATGTGAAATACAAGTTTAGCAAAATACACAAACACTATCCCAAAGGGTTACAGATGAAAATTGAAGATTGCCACATAACTCATGTTCAATGAAACAGGTAATTGGATCTATAATATAAATTTGGAATTCTTTGAGCAATTACTCCACTGCATTCTTTCATGCCCATCTCCATATGTGGGAATAAACAGTAAACAAGTGTTGTAGAGGGAAAAGCATTGGAGTCACATGGTTTCCATGTATAAAACTATAAAAGGCATGTGACATACAAGTTTAGCAAAATACACAAGCATTAGCCTAAAGGCTTAAAGATGAAAGCTGAAAATGACAACATAATTCATGCTCAACAGTATAGGTATTTGGATCTATAATATAAGTTACAAAGATATAGAGAGATGTAATCTTAGGATTCAAGCTAAGTGAATGAAATGGAGGAATGGTATACATGTTTTGTGAATGAATTTGTCAATTCGAGCTTCATGTGCAAGTAGACGAATTTCAACCTCATCAATGGAAAAAGACGTAATAGATGTTGTTGAAAGTCTCTCATCGCCTACCTCATGTCATTTTGTATGATTTAAATACATGTTAGGCTACTCCACATATTGTCAATTAGTTTTATGTTGGAACCTTAACAGATGTTAACAAGAGCAACACTAGATTCGCACTATTCAAGATGTTCCTTCAAAGAAATTGAGTCTCCAATAGCAAAAGGTGCATTAACAAGAGTTTGGATGTAGAAAATCATAAATAGAATAATTCTCAAGATTTGTGCCTCAAAATTCAACTTGAAGTAGTCTTGCGTTCGCATTTGTATAAGCATGAAAGAAGGAGTGAATTTTGTCCAAAAGTTGCCAAGATCATTTACACCCAATTAAGTGAAAGAGTATTTCTCCTGACATTGAACATTGAAGCCAAACAAGAAAACTTTGATCTTGTTGTTACCAAGAAAGGCATTTGAATTATGATCTTCAACAAAGATATTTTGGTGGAATTTGAAGATTTAGCTAATGATGGTGTTTATGTCCCTTAATAACAAGTTTGACCTACTTACACCCAACAAGATTATTTTTATATCACGTTTCTCAAAAATAGAATGTGGAAAGGTAAGAGAAAGAACCAAAGGAGGCCTTTGTGACAAGTGCGGTGTATCTAACGAGGATTTTGGTGGAGGAAAAGTAGTAATTGATTCAACATCCACAAACAAAGTAAAGGATTAGGGTTCGGATGGGGAAGAAAATATAAACCAAATCAAACCAGCCCTAAAACCATATTGAAGTTTGAGAGAGAATGAGAGAAGATGAAGAAAAGAAAAATTGTATATTGTGTAAAAAGAATTCAACCTACTTGTAAATTGATAGGTACATAAATTTATATTTGGAAAACATAGTAAACTACTAACTAACTAACCAAAAGTTAGTTAGATCTAAATAACATACTAAGCAACTAATACCTAACTTACTAATAGTTAATTGGTTACAAAGTGTTGGAGATCTTACATCAATTAAAGACATGACCAAATTATAATTTATAAAATTATAATTTATAAGTGGGTGCAAGTCTCAAGTTTTGTGAGATTGTGTTAGGCTTAAAGTCCACTTTTTAAGATGGTATAAGAGTCTATCCTAGCAAAATTTGTTAGGCCTGTTGCATTACCCACAAATATCTAATCCCATGTTCGAGGTATTCAGCCATTGATGAAAGGAGGTGTGTTGGAAATCTCACATCAACTAGAGATAGTCATATTATAGTATATAAGTGGGTGTGCATAAGATAAAACAGGAAAAATATGTAATTAGAGAGCTTGAACTTCCTCTCTGAGGTTCTCTTATCTTATTAATAATGGAAGTTCACAGACATAATGAGTAGAGGAAAACTGAAAAGACCTATTTAAAAACAAGGTACAAATAAAGATACAACCCATAAATACACATGCTTATAGAAACTAGGTAGAATTGTCTATTTAATATCTAATAAATCTAACACTCCCCCTCAAGCTGGAGCATACAAATTGTATGTACCAGGCTTGGTACAAATGAATTCGATTCATGGCCTTCTCAAGGATTTTGTTAATGTATTTACAAGTTGATCATTTGATCTAACAAACTCAGTATAAATTTCTTTGGACAACTTTTCCTGAAAAAAGTGATAGTCAATTTTAATGTGCTTAGATCTCTCATGAAATACAATATTTGAAGCAATGTGGAGAGTAGCCCGGTTATCACAATACATGTTCGTTTTCTGAATCTCACAAACGTTTAGCTCCTGAAGGAACTGTTTCATCCTTAGGAGATCATGCCCAGTCAGCATCACAATACCTAGAAATTTGGGTATTTCCTTTATCTTCATATAACAACCTTTGTCCTGGAACCCTTTTTAGGTATCTTAGGAGGATATGTATGATATCATTTCAATGATCAATACAAGGGACCTGCATAAACTGACTAACCACACCAACTGGAAAAGATAGATCAGGTCTAGTAATAATAAGATAAATAAGTTTTCCAACTAGGCTTCTATGTCTCTCTGGATCAGGGAAAACTTTACCTCATTCTGCCATTAATTTTTTATTTGGGTCCATAGGACTATCCACAGATTTACAATCAATTGTGCCTGTCTCTTTCAAGATATCTAGAACATATTTTCTTTGAGAGATTACAACACCTTCTTTTGATCGGGATACTTCAATTCCCAAGCAGTATTAGTGACTTCCAAGATCCTTGAAATAAGTGTTCCTTTAGCAGAGATATTCTAGTAGAATCATTTCCTATAATGACTATATTATCAACGTATACAATTAAGTAGACACATTTTTCTGGGACAGTGTGATATATAGAAGACTAAATGATCTTCTTCACTTTGTTTCAGCCTTGTTGAATATAGGGAAAAACTATATAGAGTTAATCTCCCTCGTGTATAAACCACACATAGAGTAATCTATTTATAATAGAGAGAGGTACAACTAAAAGAGTAACTGAAAGTAACAGAATAAACAGAAGATATTGTTTGATATTATGGTTAACAATATCTAACATTTCCCCTCAAGCTAGAACATACAAATCGTATGTGTCAAGCTTGTTACAAATATAATCAATTCTAGATTCCTGTAAAAACTTAGTAAAAATTCACTTGAGTTAACAAACTCAGTCTTGATGTCTTCAGACATAATCTTTTCCCAAATGAAATGATAGTCAATCTCAATGTGTTTGGTCCTCTCATGAAAGATAGGATTAGAGCTAATAAGAAGAGCAGTCTGATTGTCACACACAAGTGTCATTTAAGTGACACCTCCAAATTGTAACTTTTTAAGCAATTGCTTGAGCCAAACAAGTCCACATGCAGCTGAGGTCATAGCTCTATATTCTGCTTCTGCACTAGATCTTGCTACAATACTCTGTTTCTTACTTTTCCACGAGATCAAATTACCACCAATGGAGACACAATACCCAGATGTAGATCTTCTATTAAAGGAAGATCCTACCCAATCAGCATCTGAATAACAAACAACTCTTGTATGGTTATTAGAACCATACAACAAACCTTTTCTAGGAGACCCTTTGATGTATTTTAATATACGGATGACTGTATTTCAATGATCTTGACATGGAGAATTGAGGAATTAACTTACCACACTGACTGCAAAGGAAATGTCAGGACGAGTAACTATAAGATAATTTAATTTTCCAACCAATCTTCTATACTGCTCAAAATCTAACATAGGTTCTCCCTGATTTGGCAGGAGTTTGGTATTAGGATTCATGGGTGTGTCAACAGGCTTTGAATTCATCAACCCAATTTCCTCCAAAATATCCAATGCATACTTTCTTTAAGATATAACAATGTCATCGGTAGATTGTACCACCTCAATACCCAAAAAATATTAGAGTTTGTCAAGATCTTTTGGTTTGAAAATGGTGGCAAAGGTGTTGTTTCATCTGGGAGATGTCATGATAGTCACTGCCTGTAAGAACAATGTCATCAACATACATTATCAAATAGACACATCCAGCACTTGAGTGACGGTAAAATACTGAGTGGTCTGCCTCACTTCTAGTCATGCCAAATTGTCGAACAACACTGCTAAATTTGTCAAACCAGACCCTAGGAGACTGTTTTAGGCCATATAAAGATTTACGAAAACGACAAACCAACCAGACTTTGATAGCAAAGACCCACCTGCAACCAACAACAGATTTTCCAGATGGTAATGGGACGAGCTCTCAGGTTCCACTATTCTGAAGAACACTGAGTTCATCTAGCATAGCCTGAACCAACCAGGGTGAGCTAAGGCTTCAGGGACAGATTTAGGAATAAACACAGAAGAGATAAACGAGAGGCAGGTATAAAAAGGTGAAGAAATTCTATGCTAACTAAAAGCAGTATAATGTGAAGAACAGTTACGAGTAGAACGCATACCTTCATGAACGACAACAGGAAGGTCAAACTCAGTGGCGGAGCTGGAGGAGACAAAGTATTTGGCACTGGGAGTGAGTCACATGGTGTTTGTTGTGGACGAGGTCTTCGACTATAAACCTGAAGGGGTGGTGGAAGAGGAGGGTCCAATGGTAGACTATGCTCAACAGGAGGATCAATTATAACAGGAATATGAACAGTAGTAGATGGAATTCATCAGGTAGAATATGACCCTTAAAGTAACATGTATTTAAACCATACCAAATAACATAAGGTAGGCGATGTTGGACTTCCAACGAAGTCTGCCGGACCAGGCAAAGGGTACTTTTGACCCAACTAAAGGATAACTTTTGGCCCAAGACAATAACCGGAAAGATGTTAGGCTTTGACTCTAATACCATTTTGAATATAGAGAAAAACTGTATAGGGTTAATCTCCATTGTATAAACCACACATAGGGTAATTTATTTATAATAGAGAGAGGTACAACTAAAAGAGTAACTGAAAGTAAACAGAATAAACAGAAGATATTGTTTGATATTGTGGTTAACAATATCTAAAAATATCTTAACAATATCAAACAATATCTAACAATTCCAAAGACTTGAATAATGAAATACATTTTCCAAACCAAGCCACCATGATTGCTTTAGACCATAAAGAAAACGTCGCAACTTATAGACCAAAACCAGACTCTCCCTGAGCAACAAAACCAGGAGGTTGCTCCATGTAGACTTCCTCTTCTAGATCACCATGAAGGAAGGCATTCTTAATATCCAGTTGATGGAGATGTCAATGAAGAATAGCAACCATGGCAAGGAAAAGTCTCACAGTAGTCAATTTGGCCATGAGAGAGAAAGTATCACCATAATCAAGACCATAGATTTGAGTGTACCCTTTGGCCACCAGTCTAGCTTTGAGGCGATCAACTTCACCATTAGGTCCGACCTTAATGGTACAAACCCAACGACAACCAACGATTTTCTTTCTGAAAGGAAAAGGAACCAACTCTCATGTATTGTTATATTCAAGAGTCTGCATTTCAGAAATCATAATCGTCATTAAGGATGATCAAATGCTTCGGTCACATTTTTAGAAATAGAAAAATATGAAGGTGATAATTTGTGGTAGCTAAGGAAATTATAAATAGGATTTGGATTACGAGTAGAACAAGTACCTTTGCAAATGTTAATGGACCAACATGAGTCATCATTGTCAGGAGTCGTGGGGAAGGACCTGTTGAAGAGGACTCACCTTGGGGCATTGAATCTTGAATAGGATTTTGGTAGTCAAATTCAGAGGGAACTAAGGACTCCACTAAGGGTACAGGAAGGACATGTTAGACATAACTAATATCCTGTGCAGACAAAGGAGAGAATGGAGTTAATTCAAAAAAGGTGAACTAACTGACATATAGTATCCTGGGTTTCAGGAGAGTAACAATGATATCATTTTTGAAGATAAGAACATCCCAAAAAGACACATTTGATCGCTCTTGCTAAGAGTTTGTTTAAACTTGGAAACATATCATGAACAAAACATACACAACCAAAGACACGGGGAGAAACATGAAAAGGTGGTTCCTTTGGACATAGAATCGAGAATGGAACTTTATTTTCAAGCGAAAAAGGTATTTTTTTAATGAGAAAACAATAAATTAGATAGCCTCTCTCCAATGATGAATAGGTATATTTGCACCAAGTAATAAGGTATGAGTAGTTTCAACCAAATGTCTATTTTTTCTTTCTACTATACCATTTTGTTGTGGTGTGCGAGGACATATAGACTAATGTAAGATGCCTTGTGATATTAAGATGGTGAAAATAGCAATGGAAAAATATTCTTTGGCATTATCGCTCCATAGAACTTTAATTATTTTCTAAATTGATTTTTGACCTCATTAAGGAAATAAATGAAGATAGACAAAAGTTCAGAACGATCTTTTGTTAGATAAATCCAAGTACATCTAGAGAACTCATCAATAAAAGTAACAATATATGGAACCAAAAGAGGATACACGACTAGGTCCCCAAATATCATAATGAATAATAGAAAATGAAGAGTCACATCTAGATTCAGATTGTTTTCGAAATGAATACCTAATATGTTTCCTTAGTTGACATGATTCACATTCCAATGTTTGAAGACTACTCAGTTCAGAAACCATCTTTTTCAATTTTGACAAGTGAGGGTGACCTAAGCGTTCATAAAGGAGTTTAGGTGATGAAGATGCAACATAAGATAGTGATGATTTAACCCCAAAATAGTATAAACCTCTTTATTCATGTCATTCGCCAATTAGTCTACCCGTACCACATTCCTATATAACAAAAGAGTTGACATTAAATGCTACTGAACAATTTAATGATTTGGTTAGTTGACTTAAAGAAATGAGACTAAAGGGACATGAAGAAACAAAGAAGATAAGTTTTAAGTTTAAAGACGGGGAAATGGAAACATGACCAATTCCTTTATAGACTACTTTAGAACCGTTAGCCAGTGTTATGAAAGGAGTTTCAGGGATAGAAAGAAAAGAGAATAAAGAGGGATTACCAGACATATGATCAGAAGCACCTAAGTCAATGATCCATTGATTTTGACAATCCACAAATTGGGAAATGCAAGTTATTAACGAATTTGGAGTTGTTAATGACTGTGCTTGGCTGGTCGACTTCAGCTTCAAATATTCTTAATATTCCTCAACAGAGAATTTGGGCTCAATCACTTCTATTTTAGAAATATATGAAGTCTTGTCAAGGAAACCATGTAAAGAAAAATAATTTTCTTGGGTATGACCCATTTTCTTGCAATAGCTGCATTGAGGGGGTCCTTTACCACTACGTCCTCCTCTTCCAGGAGTAGAAATCATGACGGAAGATTTTGCTGGTTCCTAAACATTTTTACTATTGAGGGTTGGACACCGAAAAAGTTGTGTAGTTAAACTTTCCATGGAAGAAACTTCTTGACTATTTAAGATTTTATCTCTGACAGGATCAAAATCTTGATTCATGGCCCAGAGAATCATAACCATATAAAATTTATCCAGTTTACACTTTATGTTTTCTGCTGAATCGTCCTTCAAGAAAATCTTTCATTCTTCAACTGCTGATTGAGCTTCAGCATGAAGGATATCATATCATTATTTGTTTGTTTGAGGGAAACCAATCGATTAGCAGAATCATAAAGATGTTGGATATCATTTGCAAAGATGTTTTAGGTCTTTTTCCAAAAGGAATTATACATTTTAAAGAATCTGAGAGTGCTCAAAATATTTGGTTCTACTGACTGCCATAGCAGAGCACATAACTAAAAATCAATTTTCTTCTACTGTTGAGCTTGATCTTATGGAACATCGCTTCAATCTTTTCCTAGGTGATCATGAAACCCTTGACCTAGGAACCAGAGTTCCAGTGAAGCAGACCATGACAAATAATTTGTTTTCCATTTAACTTTTCAGATGTTATAAAAAGGAGACCTAGAAAAGGAGGTTGTGGGCTCTGAAGCCATGTTTACAGTCGACGGCGCATGGTAGTCAACAACGATGGCAGCAGACAACAAATGACAAATAGCTATCAATGGTGGCGGACGACGAACAACAACAGCAATCACGGACAGGTAGAGCAGGATCAACCCGATCTAATACCAACTTAAGATAAGAAAAGGAAAAATATGTAATTAGAGAGCTTGAACTCCCTCTCTTAGGTTCTCTTATTTATAATGGAAGTTCACAGACATATTAAGTAGAGGGAAAATGAGAAGACATATTCTAGAAAGGTACAAATAAAGATACAGCCCATAAATACACATGCTTCTAGAAACTAGGTACATGTGTCTATTTAATAGCTAATAAATCTAATAGTTGTAAATCACACCTTACAAGTTAATTTTGTGAGGTTGAGTTAAGCATAAAGTCCACTTTCTAAGACAAAGAAAAGAATATTCTATCCATTGCATAGTTGTACAAAAAGATAAAGAATTAAGGAATAAACCTATACTCCAATTCACAATCCTCACTAGTGATTTTTTATTTATTGAATGTTAAGAAGTAAATAAGAAGAGCATAAGCTAAGTGTTGTAGAATGGTGGATGAGTGGACATTCATGAAAATATTTGAAATTATTGTATTAGAAAGAAAAATAGGGAGTAGCATATATTTTGGAAAATATGATAGAATCTCACCAAAAATGGTCATGTAGGAAGAAGATCAACAAAGCTGCCCTAGAAAGACAAGTTGATCAAATGGAGAATATCATAATAAATGAGTAAAGCTATACCAAGGAAAGTTTAGAGAAACCACTAAAAAAGCCTACATTCAAATAGATTTTCAAAAAATAAGTGTTTTACAAGACACAACAGCATTTTTTGATCCATAGGGCCAACCCCACATAGTACCTTCAATTTAACTTATGAATATAGGGGCCTTTTGGAACAACCTATTTGGGCTCACTTTGGCTTATTCAACAGGCTTCTCAAGCTTACAAATAAGCTCTTCTTGATTGGAATATGTGATCCTAATTCAAACTTTGCTTTGTTATTATTTGTTTACTAAGTGGCATTTAGACCACATAAATATAATGCATAAGCAATTTTTTGAATAATTACCAACTTTCAATGGCAAGAAGCAAATTAAAGCACTTAAGAAGTCAATAAGTAATAGATATTGAGACATCCTCCTGACAAATCCGTACTTCAGCAAGTCTCAACATCTATACTCAAATCAACATACTTTAGTTTGAGATGTGGTAAAAATTATCCACATACATATATGATAATAAAATATTCCAACCTTTGTCACTCATTCCATGATCTGCTGTAAAAATATATGCTGTCCGATTATCCTTGAAATAATCTTGAACAAGATTGTAAACACTTTCAGCTACATGGTCAACAACCTTAACATTGTTGAGATAGATGGAAGAATAGGGCTTATGTGCATGGCCATTAGAGTCACATCCAAGCAGGTGGAGGAATACTACAAGATTATCCTGCTGCAGCAATTCCTTTAATTTTGGGTCTTCTCTGGATCTATTAAGAAGGCTTTCAAATTTATCCAGAGACCACATGTCCAGGAATGATGCATCTGCATGAAGAATCAACAATACTAACTAAGATGAATGAATGAAATCAAGGATTAGACATAGCTATTAAGCATTTATGTACCATAGTAAATATTTTATTTTTCCAGTTAGTATACTACCTACCACCTAGGCTCCCTTTAATTTCTAATTAGCAGGAAAAGTTTCCAATTTAGCATTTTGACCACACAATAGCATATTTTACAAAGTATGGACAAGGTCAAATATTTGACCTTATTATTTTTACGTACCTGCATAAAATTATACTAGTGAGGGAGGGAGGGAGGGAGGCTTGGGGTGATGGAGCAACAATAAAGACCATGAAAATCATAGAAAATCAATAAAATAAAAATACTTGTAATGGCCACATTTGATGTCTATGTCTATGAGGAGAAAATCAATTAATATGTAAATCTGTAATCTTTAGACAAAACTAGGTTTCTCAATTTTCATGCTACTGGGTCAATCAACTGATGAGAAACATAAGGAAAGTTTGAAAAGTATAGAAAGTTAGAAGCTGATAATCACCAACGTTTCAAAGCATTTTCTTTTTACTCAACCACAAACAATCACACCATTTAAAATTCCTACAGGCACCATATGCTATGTTATGAGTGAAATAGTCAAAAGAATAGATAATCCAATAACTTTGGTCAAAAATTCAGTAGTTCAAATATCAAGAAGCTACTAGCTACAAAGAAAAATGTTGACATTGAAACTTTTAATTGAAAAAGATCAGTAAAGTCCACCTAGGCACAAATAAGTTCCTAACCCAGGAAAAGAGATGGCAAATTGTCATGGACAAAAGAAAATAGTGTCAGCAAATGAATGAAGAATAGTCTTAAGTTAGGAGAAAGTATGTTTTTGGTCTTAGTACTTTTTACCAAACATGGTTTTGGTCCCAATACTTTTAAATCAATGAACTAGTATTCCAACTTTTGAAAACATATAAATATAATCTTTCTTTATACTTAAAGTTTAGTGACGGTTTTTACAGCTACAATATTAGACAAAAGACTAAATTCACATATTTTTTTCGAAGTTCTAGGGACATTTGATCAATTTGAAAGTACAAAGACCAAACATAAGTTCAAAAACAGTAGAGGGACCCAAAACAGTTTTTCCACTTAAGTTTATAAATCTATTTTTAGTAAGTTCCCGCATAAAAATGAAGAAGACTGGGATGAACTAATTGTACTTAAAGCTTGAGTTATTTAATTTGTGTGTCAAACAAGAAATTCAAACTGTGAAGATGATGATGCCAAACCAGTTGCAAAGTCTTCAAACTCATGGGGATAGGTATCCCAAGTGGAATGCTGCAAGGCACCACAGAAAATGGGAACTATATCAGGACTTCCGTAAGAAATGGTATGCCGGCTTCTGTTAAACACCGAATCGAACTCAACAGGATTAGCCTTCCACCCTACAAGTAACCGAATCCACTCTTTAAACACACACAAACAACAAGAAAAAAATAATAATCTAATTTTAACTTTATGCACAAAGTTGAAAAATAAAAAGTGTAGGGAGATCTTAGAGTCTATATACTAATTTTAACTTATGAGAAGCTCATTTAAATTTAAACAGGTAAGGACTGAGGAGAAAGAACTGCACAAGCCTTTTATGGACCACACTAGTTCATCTCAAACAAACAAGTGTAAAGAAACCAACCTTTTGTTACAGCACTGGGATCTTCATATAAGCCAGCAATTATGGAAACATGACCAGGTCTGGACTCTGTGGGAGGCCTTGCATGAGAAACCCCCCAACGACCCTGCGTTTCGATTATGCTCCTGAGAAATGGTGCTCGGTGATTCCCTTCCGCGTCCAGCTCGAAAAACTTGTCCGCGCGCAAACCATCAGCTGCGTTTTGATTTGAATAAGAAATGTATTTGATTAATTGATTAATCGATTTAGGTTAAGAGAGAAGGATGGAATGAATGGTACCAACGAGGAGGACGAGGCGTTTGGCGGGAGCGGCGAAGCGAGGAGTGACAGGATCGACACCGTGGACAATTGGAGTCTTGAAATAGATGTCGAAAATGCTGAGCATGTAAACGGCGTGGAGGACGACGCCCAGCACCACCAGCCATCTCTCCCTTCTCCTCAACCAATTTCTTCCCCTCCCCCCCTCTCTGTTTCCTAAGATCCCATCGCTACGCATTCTTCTTTTCTTTTCTTTTTTCTACTTGTGTTAGTATCTCTGTCTGAGCAGCATTGGAGGTATATATGTGCCGGTTCCTGCTTGCTTGCAAGGACCCAATTAGAAATTCGAATTTAGTTGTTCAAGCAAAAAAATATAAAAAAAATAAATGTTTTTATGTTAAAAAAATAAAGAAAAAATATATATATATATACATATACTATAAATTGTATAACGAAATATTGCATTTGCTATCATAATTTTATCAATTGATCGAGCATGTAAGATAAAAATGTTTAAATTGTATATGTTTAGTTAATATGATTTTTTTTCTACCCTTGTACCATAGTTTTTATTACAAATATATTTTTTTTAGTTTTTTTATTAGATTCTTTACCTCTAAGGCTTCAAAACGTACATATAGTTTGATGGAGTTTGAGTTTCTCTCTACTTATTAAGATTTTTTTTTTTAATTGATGAAGTCTTACTTAATATTCTCATGTCATGTGGACTCATCTTTGACATTTGTAATTAGGTTTATAATTAAAATTTTATTTCATTTTTTTCTATTTTTTATATTGAGTTATATCTTTTTATCTTCTCTTTATTTCATCATTGTTATATTTTTATGTATTTAATAAGGGAAGCTTAAATGCTCAAGAATTAATATATTTCGTAAAAATTGTGTGATTGATTTTGTGTTAGGTTATGAATTCTTTGAATTTATTTTTCAATTGAAAAAATTCAGATAAATAGTTGATTAACTACATTTTAGGAAAGTTATTTCAACAAACCTAAATAAGTGAGAAATTAATCAACTATTTATTGTAACAACTTAACCTAAATTGATTTATATAATTTTAGTTAATTTATAATCAATTTAATTGGTAATAATTAGTTGTTGAATTTGAGTTGAAAATTATTTTGTTTGAATAAAAAAATGTTCTCTTGTTTTGATAATTATGTTATGTTCCTTATTTTGTTGTTAATTCACTTTTTGAAACAATCCCATTTATATTTCAGTTTTAATTATTAATGCATGATATATGTTTGATAAAATGTCGATATTTTATAATCATGTGAGAAAAACTTAACTACATTTTTTGCTCTTAATTATAATATTTTTGGTTCAAGTTATGATATTTGTTTGCTCATCAAATCATATTCAAAGTCTTTACTCAAAGTTCGTTGGAGAAAAAGTGAATACCAAAACATATGTGTCTCCCTTTACCATCTTTGGTGGAGATATGGTCTAATATACACCTGTGAAAGTTAACATTTCAATGTACTTGTTGCACATCAAATTCTAAATCAACTCATACTCATCTTCACGCCACACATGCTAATGATTTTTTTTATTGGATTAAATTATTTTAAAATATTTAACTAAATGATCAATTTTCTTTGAATAAATACAAATTTACATATTTACTAGATTATATATATATATATATATATGTATGTATATATATATAGTGGTGGTTAGTAGAATATACAAATAAGTTTTATAGTAAAAAATATATAAAACAAGAAAAAAGAAAATTGTATAACACACAAAAATTATACTAGTACATCTTCCAACGAGAACTACATATAATCACTTAATCACTTGAACTAAAATTATTTGGTAACTTTTAAGTTATGTACAAAAGTCCTGTTGCAAACAAAAAAGAACTTACATTAATTGTCAATCCTATAAGATCACCAAATCTTCACGGGAAACACTATCATAAAGTTTCCACAATCTTAATAACACTAGTTAAAATCCCTAACCACACTAATTAGTTGATAGATTAATTTTTTACTCTACAAAATCACCAAGTCTTTACATAAAATTTTACCAAAATGTTAAATTTAGCTTCCAAACTAGGAACAATAATATTGACAACTCCCGTCAAGAAATTAGTTTAGTCACACTAGCTAGTTGATATACATACAAGCAAAATTATTGTAAAGAGCAATTATATAACACGATATAAAAACATATGTTAGCTCAAAAAATGGGTATTTGAATAACATTTCTAAAAATCTTTTCACAATGAGCTAACTGATAAATTCATCTAATCATAAGAAGATTAATTAACCATGGTGTTGTTTGATAATATTAAAAGTTAAGATGACATTTTATCGTTTGATGGTTATTATTCATAAGAAAATTGTTTGATGGTTAAACAAAAATGTAATGAATGAAATATGTAAATGAATAGGCTACAAGTTGATAAAAACATTATTTATATATTATTTTAGCCATTAGATGAGTTGCGTTTAATTTCCTATAAGAAATACTTAAAAAGTTATATTATAATAAATCAAATCATATTAAATACATAAAACTACTTTTGACTACTCAAGTACATACCCTCCGTCGTTATGAATTTAGAATATTTTAAGTTTTCTAAATCATTTGCAATATAACAGACAACATACATCGATTCTCTCCGGGACACTTATCAATTGTACTCATATTCTATAAGTTATTCCCAAGCACAAACTGAAATATAATTCAAGAATTAAAAAGAGTAAAATAAATTGAATTAAAAAAAGCAAGAATTAAAATTCAATAATGCAAGAAATTTAAAAATGCAATTGAATTAAAAACACAATTACAATATAAATGTAATTGAAATTTAAACGTAATGAACAAATATTGAATTAAAATGTGAAAAATGCAAAATTGTAAATGCAAAAAAATAAATTGCTTGAAGAAACGAAATTAAAACATCAATATACAAATCTAAATACATACAAATCTAAATATCATTATGTCTAAAGAAATATCAATCTAAATCCGAACAATTTATACAAATTAAATCAAACAATTATTTAATCTAATTTATAATTTATTATCAAATCAAATTTCAATTGAAACCTAATTTATATTCTAACACGTAACAAATCATATCATAATTATGACATACAATCTAAGAATTAGAAAAAAAGATGAACAAATTTAGAGCATGTGAATTAATTAATGCAAAACTTAATTTCATAATTGATATGATCTTTGATTTTTAAAATTGAAAGAAATTGTTTATCCCTCCATTGAAATACTCTCCAATCCCACAAATGTTATAAGATAAAAAGACAAAAAAAAAAATTGAGAATCCAAATAGGTAAAATAAAAATTAAATTAAAAGGTTAAGTATGTTTTTAGTCCCTGTACAAAACGTCATAAAGAATATTATCATTTATTCCCGAAAAATAAGAGAAAAACAATCTACATAAGAATATAATGTGGAAACTCCAAAAATCGAAGAAAAATCACGAGCATTGTCTAATGATAATCAGGTAATAACATTATGTGAAATTTTTTACAATACATAGACAATTATCTCATGTCTTTGACCCTAAGTACACTCACATTCTCCAAAACATGAATTTAAACTAAACCTCACAACACTCTATTACAAGAATATAAGAAAAGTAAAATACAAACTTAAAGTGTCTTTGATTGGGGTGAGAAACATCATGGACATTAAGCCCATTATATAATTATTATCACTCACTCCATTACTTATCCAATGTGATGTAAGACTTTTCAAGAGGTAATATTTTCATCAACCCAACATATACAAAGTACCTTCACCCTAACTTCTACTATAAAAGGCTAAATCCATGGATATGTAATTAGGGGTCACTGTGATGACCAAAGACTACCATTATTCTCTATCTATTATTTAGTTTGGCCACTTAATTTATATATTTATTATACTTTCATTATTTTCACGAACATGAATTCATTAGAAATTACTCAAAAATAGCACTTCATATATATCAAGGGAAATGCTTTCTTTATTGAACTACAAGGGAAGTGCTTTCTTTATTAAACTACAAGCAAAATGCTTATTCATATATCAAGATTTACATCAAACCAAAATGCAAAATATTAGAACTAACGAAAACTCTATTAAACACTTACCTTGAATTGATGTTGATAATTAATGGCAAAGAGAGTGAGTGAGAAGATGTCACCAACAAAGATGGAGGAGAACAAATAAAGTAGAATGAGAGTTAAAAGATGCTCTAAGGATAATGTTATTGATAATATAAAAAGACAAAGACAAACATAATATGCTAAGAGTGAGGGTCCTATGAGAAACAAAGTGGAAAGTAGGGTGATAAAGATGAAACGATAATGCAAAATGAATTGGAATCTATTTAACTTAGTGAAAAAGATGTTATATCAATTTAATTTTTCATAGACATAGTAAGTATTTATATTGGTTCAATTTTTAACCGTCCTAAAAAGTAATTATTATGTTATTTATAAATTAAACTGACATAATCGAGTATACACTTATTATGTTAGTTTAATTTTTAATTAATATAATAAGTATTTATTATGATGGTTAAAAATTAAACATATATAACAAATAATTACTATGTTGATTAAAAACAAAACTAAGATAGCAAATTAAGCCTTATTTACGAAAATGGTACCACGTACTTATTATGATTAATGGATAACAATTATTATAATAAGTCGGCATAAAATCTTATTTTTACATAATATTTGAACTATAATACTTGATTGAAATGAATGTCAAAAGCAAATATAAAGATATTGAATATAAACAACTCCAATGTAATAATCTATCGTAACAACTAATCCATAATACTTGAAAGAGATTATCTTGACGAGAAAATGTGACAAGTTTAGCTTTGCATGATACTTACTTAAGTAGTCTAAACTTATAAATTTTTTTAGTAAAATATGTATAAAAGATATCATTCATATATATATATACCAAGTACACTAGTTAAGATTTATACTTAAAGCACATGTGACATATTTTACAAACTCATTCTTAAGTAATAGTCACAATAATGGTAGTTTGAACTAGGAAATTATGTAGAATTAAATGTGATTAAGTGAAAAAAAAACTTGAGAAGCATTTGGTACACGATGACTTACGTGATAAGATTGACATATTAATATATACAAAATAAGTACTTATGAAAAATTTAAATAGCCAAAAATATTTCTTTCTAACCATATAACAAGAGTAAATATACTATAA